ATTAAGCTTTCGTTCATTAATTTGTTTACTATGGTTAAATCAACTGAATTGAGTTTGTTGGTAGAATTGACCTTCAGTAATGGGTCTTGTGACTCCTGTCATTATTATCAGCTCTAAAGTATTTAAAGGCCTGCTCTTTCGTGCTTGTCAACTTCTGTAGTGCATTTTACATCATTAAATTTCTCTGAAAGAACTCCCCTCAGAACCCAACACATTCTGTTTCAGGGCTTCAAGGGAAAGTGTGGCCAACACTTTAAACTAATCACATTGTGCAATCAGTTCACTGGCTAGTTACCTCTCTCTCCTATTAGTTAAGTGGAAACATGACGCCAAATCAAGCCCAGATGATTTTAAGAGATGTCATGTGAACTAGGAGCTCAGTATTTTTATTATATATATATATATTTATTTAATATTTTGGCTTTAGTGGGTTATTGGCTTATTGCTGTTTATGTTTCATTTCTACAAATTCTGAGATGTTTGTAAAACTAAAATGTTAGAGAGATGTATTTTTAGCTATTTCTTTGATTATTTTCATGCATGTGTTATTGAGTCTTTAAGTTGGTGTTAAATGGCAGAACAAGCTTTTCTATGGTTACAAGGATGCCGCCAAAGCAGCCTATGAATATGCAGTGGCTGGTGAAAAAGAAAGGCTTGAACAGCATTGTGTAAACCAGGTGAGTAGAGCTGTTACACACTTACACTGCAACATGGTGACAAGAAGCCATAGCTACATTTTACTATTTGGTTTCGTTTTACTTTGACATGGCTATTGACTTAATTTTTATGTAGGTTGAGAACTTTATGGAGCGATGGAATAACAATGATGAGTTTCGGAAGGAATATATTAAACGCAACATGAAGAGTACATTGAGGAGATTTAGAACGCTGGATGGTCGATCACTTGGCCCTGATGAAGAGCCACCAGCATTAGTAGATGTCCCTGATTATAGAGTAAATACCATGGCCAAAAATCCCAAGGTCAATTCGGTTGGGACAGTTCCAACCTTAGAAAGAGATTTTCCTTTAGTAGCAAAAAAAGTTGTAGAGGAGTCATCAAAGAAAGTAATAGAGCAGAAGAATAAGAATGCCCTTGCCAAAAAGAGGGTTGAAACAACATCAAAGGTTAGCTTAGCAGAACCTTCTGGCAGAATAGAGACAGAAGAAAAGGAAGAAGAACAGAAACAATTGAAAAAGGAAGAAGAGCACAAACAGACTAAAGAGGAAGAAGAGTTGGCAAGGAAAGTGGAGCAAAAAAGAAAAGAAGAGGAGGTTGCCAGATTAAGGGAGCAGCGCAAATTAGAGGAAAAAGCTAAAACTCAGGAAGCTCTGGAAAGGAAAAGAAGAATGGCAGAGAAAGCTCAAGCGAGAGCTGAATTTAGAGCCCGGAAGGAAGCTGAAGAAAAGGAGAAGGTTAATTTCACCCAAAAAATAGATACTAGTACTTAAGATTAAGTTGTGTGATTATTACTCTTTTTTTTTGTTTTTTGACATTTATTGGCTTCCTAAATGTTCTCATTTTTTGATTGGTGTAGGAGAAGGAGAAGAGGGCAAAGAAGAAAGGAAAGAAGAAGGGCCTTGCATCAGAGATTTCTGAAATTGAGCCTGCTCAGCTGCCAGGATCCTCACCTGATACAATCAGGGAGGCTGAAGTTACAGAAAAGCCCGTGACAGTGGCTAAGAAGTCCCATAAGCCTGCATTATATACAAAGCAGGTAAAGACTACTAAATCAATTTCTTCTCCTCCTGCCCCTCTCCGCAATCGGGGTAAGAGAAGGATACCGCAATGGGCATGGTGGTTAGTGGTAGTGGTATTAGCTGTTGCTCTTATATTCCCTTTGGGGAACGTAGACATTCTTGGGTTTGTCAAGCTTTTAGCTTCTGGCTCATCCCATTAGTATAATCATAAACATAGGTTTGAAAGTATTTTTTAAAATATTCAATTCTTGTTCATGTTTTGGTTTCTTTTCACCTCACTCACTTGCTGCCATTTGTATACTTGACCCTTAGATTGTTTGATGAAATTGTGATGGGAACAAAATTATACTATATATTGTATTGCATTTACTCTAATTTAATAAATCCAGTGATTATGCTGATATTGTTTTGTAATTCTGGACTTGTGGATATTCATCATCTTAGTGTCTTAACTACATTGTGCCGAGTATTTGTTTTGGTTCAGTTTGAAACAAAGTGGCCCGCCTTCACTGTTTCCTGGTTCTGTATTATACTCAGATGATTGTTACCCTGATGTGTTTCATCCTGTTCTTTCTAAAAAATTTGGGATATGGTGGTAGAGGATAATGTTGAATGCTCATGCTCTTTTTTGCTTAGTTCCTTAACTGTCATGCTCCAGTGACGGGTTTTACATTGAGAGTCTGAGACTGAAACATTATCTCTTCCAATGAATCTCATCATGTCAAAATAGTTTAATCAAGGACTAAGGATACGAGTACCAGATTATAACTTGTGATTGCTTATGAGGTTTTCATCTGGTAAGAGTTTGTGGTGTATATTGAACATGAATCTTGAGAAAGCCTTTGAACATTCGAGTGGAGTTTCATTGAAGTGTTTGACCTAATTCCATAGCTTAGATGGCTACGCTATTAGTTTGATTATGGACTATATTTAAAGCTTCATCTTCAATTGTTGTTATAGGAGGAAGTTCACATCTTCCATTCTCGATTGTTTAACTAGGTGATCCTATGTCCTGTATCCATTAGGTCTTTGCCTGATTCCGACTACCATTTGACTAACAAGGCTTGTGGAGAAAGAGAACTAACCCTCTTTAGACTGTGTAATACCTCTCTTACCTTTTGTAGTTTTGTTCACTGGTGAAAGACAACCGTCTCTCTTTTCTGGTTAAGTTAAAGATGACTTTAGATTGCGTGGTGTCTCGTGTTGATCCTGCAAAGCCTTGTTCTTGATCAAACCCGAATTTTGGCTCAGCTATTATTAATTCACTTAGGAGGTTATTTGTACAAGATACACAACTAACATAAGTCCAACTCCTTAGCCCAGTTGCCCATGATCCAAAAATACAACATACTCTTTCTTTTACATTCTTACTACACCCATGATATATTGAAATTAGAACTTTTACAATGTACGTTTTTTACGCATACAAAAATACATTATCAAATATATTTTCAAAATATAATTTTAATTCTTTTTAATAAATAAAGTGTACAAGGGAATAGCTTTACGCCTTTACGTTTTTGTCCAAAGTGTTGAGCCTAAATGGTGCCATAGAACTTAGAAATGCAAATTTTTAGAATATACACAAAGATTAATGTACGATTTTGAATTAATATACTCCTTACTTCGTTTATGAATATGTTCTCTATTCTGAATTGTAATGCTAAATAAACAAATAAAGCTAAATACACACAGAGCATTAATGTACAATTTTGAATTTTAAGTATTAATGTTATATACAGACATAGCATTAATGTACGGTTCTAAATACACATGTATAAATGCTAAATACTACGTAATACACAAAAGGAACTACTAAATGATAAATACACACATCTGTGTATTTAATTAGAATTAATTCTAAAAACATAATGCGTAATTAGTGGAGTATTTAGCATTCAAAAAAGAACTACTCGTACTCCATAAAAAGGAAAAAAGAGCATTAATATACGATTTTGAAATTTTTGATATGTATGTGTAATGTGTAAGTGTAAGCTATTACAGTTGCAGTCACACTGTCAGAGACAAAGTATATTGATAATGAATTGGATATGAAAGTTGTTAAAATGTTTCAAGGTTATAAATGTTAGGAAATTTTGATTTTTACCACCTTCAAATAACGACTTTATTGAATTTACCACCTCAAAAGAAAAAGATTTACTTTACCACCTCATAAAAAAATTAAACATCAGTTTTCCCACCTAAGCCTAACTCCGGTGACGGAAACCGCCAGTGGGGCCCGCCATAACAGCTAGTTTTTGAAATTATCCCCAAATTCTCCCGATTTCCCTTTGATCTAAACCTAACTTCTTCATTTCTACATCTATTTCGTGAAGATTGAAGTTTTTTTTTGCCATTTTCTTCACAAATTCTGATTTTGGGTGATCCTTAACAATCCCACATCCTCAAATTATCAAATTATTGAAGATTGTACTCGGCCCTGAATCAATTGAACTGTTCGACGACAAACAGCGAAAAGGTAAGCAATTTTCATGAATTCTGTTGTAATTTTTTGCAATTGTTTGCGTGATTATGTTACAATTGCTAAGTATAATTGAAATTGCATGTTTTATGTTATTAATTCAACCCCAATTTCATATTGTAAATAATTAGGGTTCATGTAAGTGTAAATTAATTTGGGGGTTTTTGATATTTCAATTGGGCAGTAAAATTAGGGTTAGATTATGGTAATTGTGTTCAAATACAATTAACTTCAATGAAAATTTGGCAGTAGAAATGGTCACACTAACTCCGAATTACGAGAATAATTTTTTTTCCTGAAGTCGAATCTATTCTTCGTCGCCGTTTGTTTTCTGAAACCTCTGTCATATAACAATCAAGTTCAAGAAACAGAAATTGAAGCAGCTCAGGTATGAGTAATTGTTGTTGCTCATCCACGGATTCGGTATTTATAAGATCAAACACGTTTTTTTTCAATCCTTAAGCCATTAAGGATACAAATCAGACCAAAAACCAAGCTTTAAGCAAATTATAAGATGAACTTTGGCTCATTTACTACCCAAATTAAGGATTTGTGAAGAAAATCGCAAAAAAAAACTTCAATCTTCAACAATTTGATGTGGAAATGAAGAAGGTTGTTTAAATAGGAGGAAAATCGAGAGAATTTGGGGATAATTTCAAAAACTAGCTGTTATGGCGGGCCCCACTGGCGGTTTCTGTCACCAGAGTTAGGCTTAGGTGGGAAAACTGATGTTTAATTTTTTTATAAGGTGGTAAAGTAAATTTTTTTTTTTTTGGAGGTGGTAAATTCAATAAAGTCGTTATTTGTAGGTGGTAAAAATCAAAATTTCCTAAATTTTATAAATGAATATTTTATAAGAGAAATAAATTAGGAGTTGAATTGAACTGATTGGACCTAAACTAAACTGACTGAAGTGAACAACCTCGTAACTCCTGTAATATTAATTAACCCCTATAATACTGAGTGAGTAACCCTAAATAACTTCTTTAACACTAAGTAACCCCTATTCCACTAACGAATTAACCCCTATAATGACCAGTCACATATAAGAGTTTGTGTTAAAAAAAAAATCACCCGTAGCTAACAAATTAACAATTATAAAGTATACTTTTTTTTTTTTTAAACAAAAATATACCTTTTGAGATATTGTCAAAATCTTCGAAATAAAAAAAATAAAAAATAAAAATATAGAAGCAAAAATAATACAATCAAATAATTATAATTTCCTTAAAATTTTACCCAATAATAATCAAAATCTTCTTAAAATTAATTAAATTAAAACCTTTTCGAGCTGTTTAGTGTTCTGAAGAGTCCGCATCAAGTCTTCATCACCCATAATCACATTCACTTCCCCCTTTAACTCTCTGTTTATCTCTCCTCACTCTCTCTCTCAAGCTCACTTACCCACCATTAAATTCAACAATTCCCAATTTTTTGATTTCTTTATTCATTGAATTACAACAATTGAAGGTTTTATTTGGGATATTAATGTCAATTTTCCAAAGAAAATCTGTTAAATTTCTTGATTTGGGTGTCTTCTTACTCTGATTTCCCCTGTTTTTTTCGATACCCAGTTTATAAAACATGGAGTATGTACCGATAGGGAAGAGAACCAGGCTTCAAAAAACCCTAAATAAAGAGAATTTTTTAAATAATTCTGGGTTTTCTTCGAGTGATGATGATGATGATGATGAGGATGAATGTTGTTTCATTGATGAAACAGAGTTCCTGAAATCAATAAGTAGAATTCCTGAAAAAAATTCCGCAAAATCTGAGTTGGGTATTGAGAAAAATATTAGTAGTAATTTGGGTAGGGTTTATGAAAATCATGATGAAATTTCTAAGGGTTTGGATGATAATGCTGAGAGTACTATGAATGATGATGATGATGATTATGATGATGAGGAGGAGGAGGAGGAGGAGAGTGTATGTATGCTTGTTGATGATGATGATGGGAATGTTGGTGCTCGTGTCGAGGATGATGATGATGGTAATGATGGTGTTTGTGTCGAGGATGATGATGATGGGAATGATGGTGTTAGTGTTGTTGTTGATGATGGGAATGGCGGTGTTAGTGTTGTTGACAATGATGATGATAATGGGAGTGATGGTGTTGGTGTCGATGATGATGATAATGATAATGATGGGAATGGCGGTGCTCGTGTTGATGATGATGGGAATGTTGGAGTTTGTATCGATGATGTGAATGGCGGTGTTGGTGTTGATGATGATGTTCATGATGGTGTTGGTGTTGATGATGATGGAAAAATTGGTGTTGGTATTGATGATGATGAGGAGGAGGATGATGATGGAAATGGCGGTGTTCGTGTTGATGATGACGGGGAGGTTCCTCTAGTTAAGTTACCTAGGAGACTATTTGAAGGAGTGGTGTTGCCAAAATACATTGCAAAAGATGTTGAGGGAAATGATTTTATTGGAAAAAGAACAAGGTCTCATTACAAGTTTAGGAGTAAAAACAAACATCATGGAACTCCTAGTTCCCCTATCAGCATTGATATAGACGACGAAGACTCCTCTTTGTCTCATGACGAGGAGGATCATAAGCCTAATAGTCGCGAGCTTGGTGAAGGAAAAAGAAAACGAGGCAGGCCGCCTTTGAAGAAGGATGACAAAGTGGGGTTGGATCTTGATGAGGATGAGGAGGAGCACTTTGAGTTCAATCGACGTGTGAAAAGTCAGGAGGATGGTGGAGGAAAAAGGAAACGAGGTAGGCCGCCTTTGAAGAAGGTTAGCAAAGAGGATTTAGAGCTTATGAAGCCAAAAGGAAAGAGGCTTAAAACTAAAGAGGTTCAAAATGTTCTGCTGAACGTGATTTTGGAGAATGGAAAAAATGCAGGGCTAAATAATATAGCCTCTTCTTTTAGTGAGGCATTTCTTCCCCTTAAATTTAAGTATGGAGTTGAGAAATTATCGGTGCCAGAAATTTCAGCAGAGGAACAAGAAGTCGAAAGCCTCTTTGCAAAAATGGACTTTGCTCTTGGAGTTTCTGACATTGGATCTGAACCTTCTTGTTTGGTAAGGTTTCTCTAATCAGTAATCATACAACAAATTTATTATGAGTACTTGTTGGTTGTTAGCTTTTCTATAAGTTTGAATTAAATATTATTTAAGGCCTCTTTGGTAGGGCAGTAATGAATTTTATGTGTAGCTAGATTATACTATTGTTATGCTTAAGTTTTCCTTTAATATTGTGAACTTTCTCTATGTTTTAATGACATCTTCGCTTCAGCACAATGCATTACGCATTGAAGTGATAACACTCGACCATATCTTGACTTGATTGTTGATAATAGTTAGTTAATGTACTTCAGTACTTGTAGTAGGATTTATGAGATCTAACATGTTGTACTTGAGCACACGAAATTGGTAAAGCAGTGACATTGATGCTGTTTTTCTCTTCTATTGATTCTGACTCGTGTTAGAATTACATGGAGTAGTATTTCTAATATATTTACTGATGAACATCTACTACAACCTGGTGAAGTATTTTGCATGCTAAATACCAAGTAAAACTTAGGCTGAAAGGTATGGACTTAAAGTGATCAGACTCTAACTAGGTACAAATAAATGTCCTAGAACAAATAGCATCTTTTTTTATTTGAACAAAATGTACAATGCTTGGACTCTTCATCTCAGCTTAAGTATTCATGTCGTATACTTAACAATCAAAACTCAATTGCTTCAGTTTTGGCCAAAATGAGAAATCTAATACTTCCTACTTATGTTCGTGTCACGTATTCTGATCATAGCTTTGGGCACTCATTTTTGTGCCCCTATGTCTTTAAGTTGAGAATTTTCCATGTCCAATTGTTGCTTCCATGATCGAGTTTGTTGTATTATATACATGAGTTCGTGCATTGTAGCTTTTATTACCTTCTATCTATGGAGAATAGTTTGCAGTATTTATCTGCTGTACTTTTTTGCAACTGAAAAAGTTCATTCAATTACCTTTTCAAAGTGTAACACTAAGAGTTGCAGGTCTGCAGCACAACTTTAAAATTTTAATTTGTATGCCACATCTTAATAAGCAATTGAATCTGGATTAATGTATTTCATTGTTATCTTTGTAGCTTTGTATCTACTTACTAACAGGCTTCACAATGACTTTGTAGGATAAGGACGATGATGAAGATGATAATGCTGTTCTATGTGATAGCGCGCTCTTGCAAGAAAAGCTTTGCCTTAAAGGAAAGCACTACTGGATTTATGATGAATTGATTGGAAACAAATGCAAGTTCTGTTCATTTTTGAAGCTTGAAATACAATATGTTACACCTGAGTTTGTAAGTCACAAAATCACTCTTTTCGCTAATAATGTTTACTCTTTACTGTCATTAGTGTAATTATGTATTTGCTTATGGTTGCACAAATGTACAATTACTCGAACTATTTTGTTTCGATCTTTTCCTTTTGTATTTCCATCATTAAATCCTGTACTTTCTAAGCTCCTTTAATGACATGAAAATTTGATTTTCCATGTGAAGAACAAGACACCAGATACTATGGGCAATTCCCCTACAATGATACCAAAGTTTCTGACAAGTTTCAGTTTCCGGATTTGAGCTATGATATCCGAGATGAGGCTAGTGTTCCAAATGATCATTTTTCGGGCACAGTATGGGACCTCATCCCAAGGGTTGCAAGGACTTTATACCCTCATCAGCGCGATGGGTTTGAGTTCATCTGGAAAAACATTGCTGGAGGGATAAGAATCGACGAGCTTGCTAAGCCCACGGAATCTAGTAGTGGTGGGTGCATCATATGCCATGCTCCAGGGACAGGAAAAACTCGGCTAGCAATTGTTTTTCTGCAGTCCTTCCTGAGGCAATACCCTAAGTCGAGGCCTGTTATTATAGCCCCTTACAGCATGCTTCGTACTTGGGAAGAGGAGTTTGATCGATGGAACGTTGACATGCCTTTCTTTAACCTGAACGAGAAGGAACTGTCAGGGAAAGAAGACCTTCCTCTTCTCAGAGGTCAGAACATGAAGAATACTATGAAAGACGAGCACTCAATTCGAATGGCTAAGCTTCTTACTTGGTCTATGGGGAAGGGTGTTTTAGCTATTAGCTACGGCCTTTTCCAGAGGCTAGCAGGTGATGGGAAGAGCGTTGATGGGAAGGTTAGGAAAGTTTTTCTTGAACAGCCTGACCTCTTAGTGTTGGATGAAGGGCACACGGCGAGAAATGATAAGAGTGGCATAGTTAAAGTGCTGTCAAAGGTTGTAACAAAGAGGCGAGTGATCTTATCAGGAACACCTTTTCAAAATAACTTTGAGGAGCTCCATACAACAATTGCCTTGGTTAGAGAAGAGTTTGGGCTTCCGTCGTGTAGTCATTTGAATGAGGAACGAAAAATCGAGAAGCTAAGGAAACAGATTGGTCCCTTTGTTCATGTTCACAAGGGTGAGATCTTAAGAGATACTCTTCCTGGATTGTTTGACTCACTAATTGTCCTAAGACCTTCAGATATGCAAAAGTACATTTTTGCTCACATAGCAAGATTAAGAACCCCATTTCTCAAATTCGACAACCAGATATCTCTGGCCTGTGTTCACCCCTCAATTTTATGTGAGACAGATTCAGGGTATGCTATCGATAAAGAACAAGAAACTTTGCTGAAAGATCATAGAATGGACCTTGATGCTGGAGCAAAAATACGGTTCCTTGTAGAGCTCATTAAGCTATGCAAAGGAGAGCGAGTTTTGGTGTTTGGGCAACGCCTTCTCTCCTTAAACTTCATAGGAGATTTGCTAGAATCTCTATTTGAATGGACCATGGGGAGGGAGTTGCTTTACATTGATGGCGGTCAAGATATGAAGGAGAGGCAATCATTGATTAAGCTTTTCAACGACCCTGGGAGTGAGGCTAGGGTCCTTTTGGCTTCCACCAAGGCATGTTGTGAAGGGATCAGCCTTGTGGGTGCGTCTAGGGTGGTCTTGCTTGATGTCGTGTGGAACCCCTCTGTGGAAAGGCAAGCCATAAGCTGGGCTTATAGACTTGGACAAAAAAAGGATGTGTTTGTTTATCACCTCATCATGTCAGGGACCCTGGAGGAAGATAAGTTCCGCAGGCAGACAACAAAGGAACATTATTCAAATCTTCTGTTCTCTTCCTCCTCTCCTTCAGACAATGAAACCACCATGCACAAAAAGAGCATTGGATCGAGGATGGTTCCTGAGGATCATGTACTGGAAGCAATGACCCATCACGAAAAAATCAATTACATGTTTGAGAAGATTATCAGCCAGCCTAAAGCTGATGATGATATGATCAAAAGTTTCGCTTGTTGAGATTCTTTTGTAGTCATCTGACAATTATCTGAAATACTAATACAGTATGGTTTCGTTTATTCTGATTTCAGCCTTTCATTCTGTTTGGACCAGCTATCTTTCTGTAAGAGTTGCTGTAAATACTGAGAAGATTAATTATTGGTAAGGAGTTGCTAGTTTCTCTACTTAAAAATTAGTTTCTTTTGCAAACTTTTTTTTGTTGATAAGTGAGAAGCTAATGATTCTCCATAATATTTTTTCTTGGAGCATATACATTTGCTCTCTGTTTAAGTTTCTCCAAAATTTTAGCCTGTTGTGACTCTTGTGAGTCTACTTGGCAACACAATGTTGCTTAACAGCTGAGGGTCATTATTAAGTATGATATTTACCATCCTCATTTAATCAAATAATAACTTTTTGGCACCAATGGAAAATATCTCTGATTGGAGCTGTGAGCTAATGTGACTGGCTGTGTACTTGTGTACTGTTGTCAAAAGTACAAAGTTTAACTTCGTGGTACTATTTACTCTTTTTTTTTTTTTTTTTCTTTCTTTTTTTTTTTGGACTGTATATACACGTTTCTATTTTTATAGTATTTATACTGATTCTCATTTGATCTTTCTTCAAATTAGGTTGAAAATTTGGTGGAGTCGGATTCTCGTTTGTGAAGGGTGTATCAAAGGTGGTGTGGGAATGGCAAGGTACGGAGATGCAATTTGGGCTCTATATATACCGTATCAATATGATTTTTAATTAGCTATGTTAGAGCCTCATTTTGCATCATAATGTCTAATTGAATTGATAGTTTATCTAATTAAAGGGAAAATTGAGATGACTATAATTTATTATGTATCACTTGATTTGTGAATTACGGATGTGTCACTAAAATGTAGTTCTTAGAGAAAATATGATTTCTAAGTGTTATTGCAATCTAATAATAATCTACATGACAGTTTGAGTGTTAACCTTTCCCTAAGAGTTGCTCTTGGAAATATGTTATTGTTGCTTGTAGACTTTGCTTTACTAGCTATTTGATTGGTGTTTCCTTGAAAAAAGATGTCTAGCTGTCTCTTTGAATTGGTAAATTAGTATGTTTATTGAGGGAAAAAAAAAAAATCTGTTAGAAAGAAAATTTGTATAAAGAAAAATACATCAACAGAATACCCTAGGTCGTTTAGAAATTTGGGAAAGAAAAATTGTATGCCAAGATTGCCAACCAAGCTTTACATTGGACACTAATTTTTTTAAAATAAAATTTTCTCACAAAGCAACACCTGTGAAAGCACATTAATAAGGGTAAGAACTATTGTCTCACAAGGGCTTATGACCATAAGGTCCATTCGGGAATATTTTGTTGAAAAAGACCTGAGAATAGCAAAGCATGGAGAGCCAAAGGAACATTCTTTAATATTTTTTAATGTTAAACTCACCCATTCACAAATAGTGGATGTGAGAGTTTAAGAATGCAAACTATTATTTTGGCTTCCCCTGGCTCCCCAAGATACTTTTCTATGGATAAGTTCATCCTTTTGTTATATTCTGTCGTCATAATTCTTGAGCACATGTAAGATGTAACCATAATATATTAATATGCTTCATGTTTGTGCTGGATTCTTAACTACTTTGTATTATTTTTAAACAAGTAGTTGATTTTCTTGGCTCTGGTTTAATCATTACTTTGTCCTTCTTTAGAGATTAGTCATTACTTATTAGTTCCATCAATAAGAGAAATAAAAAGATTAATTGTTAGCTGATTACATTAGCTACTTCCGTTGTTTCATTTTAGTTGACACATTTCTCTAGGTATTTTTTCAATCTTTTTTTTAATAGAAAAAATTTGTTAAAAGTGAAAAGTGTTAAAAAATTGGAGTATGAGAGTCATGACTGCCATCTTTCTTTAGCAAATCTGGGATCAATATCTTTTTATTTAGTGGGTGGTGGTGGAGCATAATACAGTAAGGTCCTGGAAGAATGCAGTATATATTAAGGGTTTGAGGAATGCCTTATATAGTTGAACGAATGCAGTATATATTAAGGGTTTCGAGAAATGAAGCATATTGACCTTGAAATTGTATAGTTGACCTTTTCATCGCTCTTTAGAGTCATGCTTGTTCTATTAGCGTATCTAAATTAAGTGCTGTCCTGTTCCCACAAATGAATGGAAATGACATATTTGGAGTCTGCATTGAATTGTGAACTATTTCCTGGATTTTCTTTTATCTTTGAAATATTAACTTTTATTCCTTGTCTCTCTCTTTTTCTGTTCATTAGTGGAAGGTTCAAGGAAAAAGAAGGTGGTTATTGGCAGTGTGAATAATGGTGCAGCTGTGAATAAATCATATGGCTAAAAGCATCAAGTTGGTGAGATACAGAATATGATCATTTGGAGATTCAACGTTTTGACAAGTTATCTATTGATTTCCAGTTTTGGATTATGATGATTGAAGTAAATGTTAGTACACTCCTGTCCTCTACTTGTATGTGTGAAGTTACTCTGTATCATGCAATTGAGACAACTTTGTAGTTGCATTTGGAAGACTAGGCACATGTCCACAAAAGCCCCAAGAGGTGTTAGACTTGTGCATATTTTTGGTAATTTGATCCTAATTTATGTACTTAAGATGATCTTAATTTACCTTGTTCTATGTGTGCAGGCCCTTAGAAGTTTGTATTAGAACGTCCATGTTACCAGAAGAAAATTGTGTTGTATTAGTTATGCCGGAGACGATTTGAGGGGAAAATTTAGCCATTGTCAGGGGCTTGTTTCAACTTTCAACAGCTACATCTTGTTATAACTGATTGCTGTACATCTACATCCCTTTTCTAACGCTATTTTTGAGCAGCAACTGGCCAAGAAGCATTTTTTTCCTAGCAGGCAGTGTTTCTGGTCTTCAGTTGGTAGTTTTGGTCATAAAGCTGATTAACTCTGGAAGATAGCTAAGACAGAATTAAGTTAGAATTCTACGGAGTACAAAATTGCAGACGTACACACCATAAAGCCCACGATCCCCCTGGAAACAGTATCAATCTAGCAAGGAAACATCATAAATTTTTCATTTGTGTGGAATACCTCTCATGTATCAATCTTGTAATTACCTCGTATATTTATATTTTCATTTCATTTTACATAAGAAATTTGTTGGGAAGCTTGCGCTGTTTTCATAATTTGTGCTTGTAGCATCTCATTGACATTCTTGAGTGGAATGGGATGCTATTTGCCGACTTATATTGCATGTCGCATCTTATAAATGAGATTTTGTAGTCCTACGAATCTGTTGATTGTGTTCAGTAAGCAGTGGAATGGTCTCCACATTGTGCTGTCAATGTACATGTATCTGGTGTCTATAATAATATAAACCCCCCTCATGACACGTGTCGATGTTTGTTTCTTTTAGTCAACTATTAAGATTGCTGAATTTCCAACTCCCCAATTGATGAAGTTCGCTCTTGCAACTTTACTACACCGTCCGTCCCTTATCTACATGCCTATAATATTTATTACTCACATATTATAGAGAAGTAGGCATAAGGTACAGAGGGAGTACCGAATATTATTATTTTCTTTTTTGAAAAAAAATTGGCTCTTCATTTGAGAAGATTCAATTCAATTGTGCTTTCTGTCCACTCGTGATAGGTAAATTATGATTGAGTATTTCACTAGTTTTCATTAGCATTGTAGCTACTAACCTGTGATTCAATATAACTTTTGGAAAAAAAAAGGGGTGGTTTATTCATGTATTGGAGAAAGTGTTGGTCATAAATTTTGTTTATTGGCCAGCTGTGGTGGCACAGTGCTGTATGTGATTGGGTGGCACTTTTGTATTTTAGCTTGTATATTGAAGCAGGTTCGCTGATAGATGTGAACTTGTTGGCCTTGACCTGCTTGCAACTTTGCAGACCATGTATACAGAGAGACATCACCTTCACAGAATTTGTGTGCATGTGTATGTATATGTAATTTACTTTTTAATCGAACATCGACTTTTCTTATCAGAATAGATAATCCCAAATTTCTTCGGCATTTCAGAAGATTGGCAGAAGACAACACATCTTTTGCTTAGGATATCATGATACATTGAATTAAGATTAACACAGGGTTTCTGTTAGGGGTTAGATGATTGACTGAAAGTAGGTGTTACAGGTGATTGAAGTAACTTGAGACTCTTTGATGTTAGCAAAGGTTGTAATTTGTTGGCAAGTTTTCTGTCAAATGTTTTCTTCAATATATGGTTTATACCGTGACAGATAATCTTCTAGGAAACTCCTTTTAAAGCTGTTATTATAAAGCTAGCCTTCTGTGCAGTGATTTTTCAGAAAATGAGCTTAGTATACTGTATTAATGAACTTTTAAGCATATGTTAAGCTAATTTGTGAATACACTCGAGTTTAAAGAGCTTGCGATAAGAGAATATGGTGAGATAACATTATTGTCTAGCTTTCAAAGACCCACTAATACAATTTTTTGATACAGTGAGATAGTAGTGTCCACTTAAAACTTAAAACACACATCGCGTGCATATAAATCTAGTTTCAACTAATTCAACAACCTTTCACAAATACGGAGTATGACATTTGTGCTCATTAGTCTAGTAAATTTGCACGACCAAATTTTCTATGAAAAACGTAAAAGTCAAACTGTTAGCATGTATATGTCCGTCTAGATCTGAGTCATCAGACAGTTGATGAAGTGTTACTTAAAAATAAAAAATAAATAAATAAAACATTGTTCCTTTGGTGTTCCTCCCTCTCTTTCTCTTTCTTCCTTTAAAACGTACTCTTGACTTCTCCATTGAAGCGACTTCACAAGTTTCTCTTCTCAATTGAAGCAGTGTTTGAGGTAAGATGTTTATTCCTTTTTTTTTCATCTGATTATAGAAAAATTAATTTCAAATTGCTCTGCTAATTATGTTACTAATCCAGAATTATATTTAAGCTTCAATCTAAATTTGATTTTCGAAATGCTGCTGAATTTATAATCTGTCTCTTCAAATTACAGAATGAACCAAGAACAGCGTAACTTGATTTTACAATCTGCCTCCAACTTCCCACCACCCAAAGGTACAATCTTTCCCCAATTTCTCCTTCAATTTCAATTAATTATTTTGAATTAATCAAACAAGAAAAGTAAATTTATTCTTTCAATTTGATGATACAAACAAAAAATGCAGGGGTGAAATTATCGTATGGAACAGCAGGGTTTAGAGCAGATGCAACCCTTTTGAGATCAACAATGTATAGGGTTGGAATCTTGGCTGGTTTAAGATCCCTTAAAACTCAATCATTGATTGGGTTGATGATCACAGCTTCCCATAATAAGGTTTCTGATAATGGTGTCAAAATTGCTGATCCAAATGGTGGAATGTTGTCTCAGAATTGGGAACCTTTTGCTGATTATATAGCCAATGCTGCTGATCCTCTTCAACTTCTTCAGGTTTATCTGCTTATCATGTTAACATTATTATTATTATTTTTTTTTTTTTTGGTTTTGTTTAGTTTGCTCATAGAATGTTGGAATTGTGCTCAATTTGCAATTTGTTTTTGTGGGTGTTTAGTTGATTTATCTAAGTTATAGTATGATTAGTATCTAATCCTGGTTAAAAATTATCATGTTGCCTAGATTTTGTTTGACATTGGAGTGATTTGAGAATACCTTCTTCTATGTTATTAAGACTTGGTTACTTGTGTCAAATATGGGCATATGTTCAAGTAATCGACTCGGCTATTTAAGGAAAAAAAACATATCATTGTTTTTGGTCCAAAGTGATGTAACAAGTGTTGATACTACCTATGTTGTGTGTCAAGTATATGATATGGGTACTGTAATAGACTAACATTAACAAGGGTAGTTTGGGAATTTTAGTATTTTTAGGTTAGTAGCCCTTATTCCTAACTAAGCCTTAGTATAAATAAGGGATAGTATATGCATTAGCTATCATGTGAATTGTGGGGAAAAATGTTGAGAGTAGTAACCTCAAGTTACTAGGAGAGTGATAACCTAAAATTATCAAGAGAGTGATAGCCTTAAGCTATTAATCTATCCTTTTGTATCCAATTTCAGCCATTATATGATATGGGTACTGTAATAGACTAACATTAGCAAGGGTAGTTTGGGAATTTTAGTATTTTTAGGTTAGTAGCCCTTATTCCTAACTAAGCCTTAGTATAAATAAGGGATAGTATATGCATTAGCTATCATGTGAATTGTGGGGAAAAATGTTGAGAGTAGTAACCTCAAGTTACTAGGAGAGTGATAACCTAAAGTTATCAAGAGAGTAATAGCCTTAAGCTATTCCTATCCTTTTGTATCCAATTTCAGCCATTATTAATTAAAGTATCAAGCTTTTATCTCTTAATTAGTCTTTAAATCAGAAAATACTAAGGCAGTCCATTACAAGTACTTGAGATGAAATGAAGAGTTGAGTAGCATAGCCATTATATTATATTTGATAATATGAGTTGAGAATAACTTGAAATTACCAATATTGTGGAAGTTGGAATATTGGATTTTGTTGGACCTATCTTTCTCTAATTTGGTCGTTTGATATTTTGATGGTGATGATTGAATTGTTCGTGGCTTGTATTGCTTATATTGTAAGCTTGCAAACAGGATTGTATTGAATATGAATTCATCAATACCCATATTGTTTTATTTTGAAAAAAGACTGTTGTTTATGGGTTGTTCCTAAGTTTAATTCATTTTCAAAACAGCTTATTGAAGAATTTGTGAGGAAGGAGAACATCTCATTTGACAATGCCCGTTCAGCAGAGATCTTGCTGGGAAGGGACACCCGGCCCAGTGGAGAGTCTCTCCTTGAAGCTGCAAAGCAAGTAATACTTATCTCTTCCTGAGCAATCTATTGATACAGGCATAGAGCAATGCCAATTTTGTAGTTATTTGAATTATCTCCGAAGTATTTAATTATCTGCTTATTCCATTCAAGGGAATCAGCTCTATAATCGGTGCAATTTACCATGATATGGGAATTTTAACCACCCCACAATTACATTGGATGGTCCGTGCTAGAAACATGGGTATGAATTCAACAGAGCAGGATTACTTTGAGCAACTCTCACATTCCTACAGGTTTATGCACGCACCATGCAATCTTTATTACATTTCTTCTTGAACACCCAATTTATACTATTGTCATAATTGGTTTAGGTGTTTAGTTGAATTGATCCCAGAGGGGAATAAAGGGAGAAAATCCAATGATAAAGTGGTAGTTGATGGGGCTAATGGTGTAGGAGGTGATAAACTTGAAGTTTTGAAAGACATGTGCGGTGGTCTATCAATAGAAGTAAGAAATTCCAGCAAAGGAGAAGGTGTTCTGAATGAAGGAGTTGGAGCTGATTTTGTGCAGAAAGAAAAGGTCTTGCCTTCTGGGTTTGGCCCTAATGATGTTGGGCTGAGGTTAGTCATCTCTTTTTTCATTTGAAATCATTAGTATTGCTTTGTTTTCAACTTTTCACTTGATTCTTTTGTATCTGGTGGTGGTGATGGTCTGGACTCTGGAACATTAAGCCTCCTTTTAACTACATGAGAATTCAGTATGTGCTTTCTTGGTCAAGTGCTAAAATTTGACGCAGAAGACAGATATATCCTATCAAAACTTTTAAAAACCTCTTGTCGTGAATTTTAGGTTTTCTTACCTGGTAAAACTGTTTGGGATGAATTGATGTAATTTAACTTGGTTTATTTAACTGGAGATAAATTTTTCAGTTTTATATTCTGGCAATGTCAATATCTCAATTCCCACCCTGCTGTAGATCATTCAAGTAACAAGAGCACTGCTTTTTTGGCTGGGATTGGTTAAAAATCTGGATTCCATGCCAAGCTTAGTATAGGTTTTTACGTAAAATTGGAATTTAAATCTTGTAGAAAAATAAACTATGTTTCTGCTTGATGGCTTTGGTGTAGAACCCCAAATCATTTTGGGACTAAGGCTTTGTTGTTGTTTGATTCTGCTTGATGGCATTATAGAAACCAGGAAATTTGGTTTTCAGGTTATCACTCTTTGTTTTACTCACATTGCTATAGATTAATTAGAGCCCAAACCCAAACCCAAACTAGCGTACAAGTATTGTAAATGAAATGTGAAATGAAAATTTCTATAAATGAAACAGACGAGGTAAATTAAATTAGCAGTTCTCTAGACTTATTACTACTGAAGTTAATCTGTTATCCCTGGATAGTTTCATTTCATATTTCATGACTGAAAAGAAGTCCACCTTCAGTTCTCCTGCGAACTTGCTAAGTCTTCATACTAGATTTTCCATTGAAAACTTTAACTAATTAGTTTTGAACAATAATATTGGTTAGTATTCTTTCAATTAAGGTAAATTTTCAAATGTAGAATCCGGGCTAACTGTTGATGGTTCTAGCATTTCAGGTGTGCAAGTTTTGATGGGGATGCAGATAGGCTTGTTTACTTTCTTGTGCAACCAGACAGTAAAGTGATTGACCTTGTTGATGGGGACAAGATGCTATCATTATTTGCTCTATATATTAAAGAGCAATTAGATGTTCTCGAAGACATTGATTATTTTAAATCATGCGAACCTTATAATCCACGTCTAGGCATAGTGCAAACTGCATATGCTAATGGGGCATCAACTGATTATCTGAAGAACTTGAAATTAAATGTTGTCTTCACTCCAACTGGAGTGAAATATTTACATGAAAAGGCTTCTGAATATGATATCGGTATATACTTTGAAGCAAATGGCCATGGCACCATATTGTTTTCTGATAGTGTTTTATCTTGGTTGGAGACTAAAAATAGCGAGCTCTCTTCCTCTTCTACAGGTCAATTAGTGTATAATGTCATTGCCATTAATTTATTTATGCTTCTTAATCAGACTTCCTAAGCAAAGTTTCTTGCCTTTTTCAGGCTCGGAATATAAAAAGGCTGTGTTGAGATTATTAGCTGCCAGTAAACTAATCAATCAGGCTGTTGGTGATGCTTTGAGTGGATTGTTATTGGTAGAAGCCATCTTACTACATACAGGATGGTCAATTCAGAAATGGAATGAACTCTATAAAGATCTGCCTAGCAGACAGCTTAAGGTCTGTCACTTTGTTGTATTCTTCATTGGAAAGTAATTGAAATATTCTTGATGACAGAATTCTCTACTCTGTTTGCTGGTTTCATTTTAATCTTTGAAAGTTTTTCTGAGAGATCTTGATCTTTTGTTTTCGTTGATTACTGCAACTACTTTTAGGTGAAAAGTTATTAACTGAGCTTTCACTGCATACTAATGGACGCGTGTCTTGTAAAAGGAAGTTCCAGAGTAAATAGTTTGTTAGCTTAGAATTGTTTTGATTCTTAAGGCTGAATACTGTTTCTATATACTCTGTAGTCTGTAGAGTTAATCAAGATACATCCATAAATCTTTGCCAATCCTGTTATCACCGTTTTTTATTTAGTTACAAAAAACACACTCTAAATTGGACTTTGACGTTTTAGTTCCTGCCCTTTCACTGTGAATTGTATTTTTTTCTTTTTAGCTGTAGATTTATCTACATTAATCACATCAGTCCATAACAGTTTTTTTTTTCTGCGTTGGAGTTTCAGGTCAAGGTTGTCGACAGAACAGCTGTTGTCACTGCAAATGCCGAGACTATAGTTGTGCAGCCTGCTGGCATCCAAGATGCGATTGACACTGCAACTGGTAAAACCTTCACTCTCTAAATTTGGATTCAAGTTCTTTTATGAGTTGGTGAAGTAAATTTGAAAATTTAGTTATTTCCTTTTTCATATGGCAGTCCCCCCCCCCCCCTTACTATCTTTGAGTGATCATCTAATTATTGACATTTTTTGCTTGAGAGCAGCAAAGTATCATCATGGACGTTGTTTTATCCGACCATCAGGTACAGAGGATGTCATTCGAGTGTATGCGGAAGCCACCACCCAGGAAGAGGCAGATAATCTAGCTAGTGATGTAGCAAAGCTCGTAGATCAGTACCTTGGATTCGGAAGTTCTCAATAAACAAATTGACTAGCTGATTTTTTCTGTTGCAGAATTAGTTATAACATGGGATTAGCCTGCTTGTTTGCCTCAGCCAATCCCCTATTTTATAGATCAACATCAGAGATCCTTTTTCTCTTGACATGTTTATAACTGAAATATTTTATGTTCAAAGGTTTTACACAGAAAAAAGTTTTCCCCTTGATAACAGAAGTGACATTAACAGATTTCCGCGATAATAATGCATTTTGCTTACATAAAAAGCACCATATTGTCAATTTTGTGATGTTTTCATACGTATTTGTCAAATTAATTCATACAAGTTTGATAAACAAATGGCATTTGATGCTTACTAAATTTCTGTCTTTGATAAAATTTGATTCTTGATAGAAACTTAGCCCTTGCTAAAAATGTCATATATGCCAAATATTTAGATACATATTTAATATTTTCTTTCTTTACGCGAACTAGCACAATCAGAAATGTTTTATGGTGAAATTACGTCATAAATTTAGAGTATGTTGCATAGTAAGCTCATGCTGTCTGCAATTTTGTCCTTTGAAACTAATTGTAACATTGTTCTGTTTACACTGTATAAACTATTGTCAAAATAATTTAGAGTATGTTGCATAGTAAGTTCATGCTGTCTGCAATTGTCCTTTGTAACTAGGGGTGGGACTTCGGTCTGGTAGTTCGGTTTGACCTCAGTTTGAAACGGTTTCGGTTTGAAACGGTTCGGGTTAAAACGGTTTCATTTAGACGGCGGGTCGGTTCAGTTCGGTTTTGATTAGTCACAGGTCGGTTCGGTTTCGGTTTATTTTTGTATGATTTAAATTCGGTTCGGGTCATAAACGGTTCGGTTTATAAACAGTGCGGGTCATAATCAGATCGGTTAGAAACGGGTCGCTTCAGGGGCGGATTTACTAGGGTCAATGCCGGTTCGGTTTTTAAACGGTTCGGTTAATAATCGGGTCGGTTTGAAACAGGTCGGTTCAGGGGCGGGTTTACCCGGGTCAATGCCCGTTCGGTTTATAAACGGTTCGGGTCATGATCTGACCGGTTTGAAACGGATCGGTTCAGGGGCGGTTTTACCGGGTCAACGTCGGTCCGGGTTCATATCGGTTCGGGTCACGAACGGATTATTTTGAAATGGGTCGGTTCAGGGGCGGGTTTACCCGGGTTAATGCTAGCTCGATTCATATCGGTTTGGTGCTAAAATCGTTCGGGTTAGTTTGGTAATCGGTTAAATTGGATCGGGTTGAAATCGAGTTCTAAAAAGTGGTTTTGACCAGTTAGCGCGTTTTGTTTTATATCAAGTTGGGACTAGTATATCCATTTCATTAGCGGGTCGGCATAGGTTGGTGAAAAAAATAATGGATCGAGTAGAAATTGGGTTTTAAGAGATTTTTGACCGGTTAGCTATTTTCGTTTTATATAAAGCTGGGACTTCGTCACTTTATTTTCAGACATCGGATTATATACAATTACACAAATCTTCATTTATTCAATTATTCTATATCATGTTAATATGTTATGTTTCAAGTTTGGTTATACTCTTGTTGTTGTTTATTCGATATTATCATATTAGTCTATTACAAATTTATAATGTATTAATGTATTATTGCTTCATTATTAAATATATATTATTAGGTTATCAGCTTCTTGTTGGATTGTTTTAGATATCGTGTCATGTCCATGTTTTGATGAGTTGCTACTTTGAATACGATAAATCGATTCAGATATCAGATTATATAGAATTACAGAAATTCTCATTCATTCTATATTTGGATGTTTAATTAAAATCACGATTATTCAATTTCCCATTAGTCTAATAAAGTAATAATTGACAATTGTTTGTAACTATTCCATAATTTTGGTGTTAAAGTTATATTGTTGAATTACTTTGTTGTCTTACCCTCTCTAATAACCTTTTAAGATTACGTGCCTACAAGGCTGCAACATATATATGTTGCAACTTGCAAGTTAAAGAAAACGGGTGGGGAAGTAGAAGTATTCAATTAGATCGATCATCAACTGTTTTAAGTTTTAATAATCAGATACATTTATCGATTATCTATACATACCAATGATAGTATGATACCAATCGTACCATACATTATTATTTATTACATATACTGATATACATATAACTAATATACATTAAATATGTCATATTGAATCAATTTCAATTTCCAAACATTTGTGTTTCTTACAATTTATAAGTTACATAAAGTTAAGAGTACAGTAGTGTTTTTATTAGTACGTAGCTATGAATAAAAAAAAACATACTATCCAAATCCATTATCCCATGATCTGTGTCACCGTCTTATATTAAATATCAGCCATTGATTTGCATGTCATCTAACGGCCTATCATCGCACACATTCCAATTCGCGATCCGTGTGTTTTCTTTTCCACCAATCAGATCACTCTTACCATCGTCTCTTTAGTACTCTTTTTGATTTCTCTCTCGTTTTCTTAATCCTCTTCTAATATTATCAATTTTTTGAAGCCATGGCTGCTAATATGCTCACTGCTCTCTCGTTTTCTCTCTCATCTCCTCTTCCTTCTTCCTTTCTTCTTCTTCCTTCTTCTCCCTTCTTCCGTCTATGTTCTCCTTCCTTCCATCTCGTTTCTCCGTCTCCGTCCACCGGCACCACGCACGACGGTTTTTATGGTCAAATTCGACCACGAAACTCTAGATCTAGTTGTTTCATGATCGAATTTGGCCTTTTAAAACCAAATTCGAGGCCGAATTCAGGATTAATATATAAGGTGTTTTCGTTCTTCCTTTTTTTATTTTCTGTTTTTCTTTTTAAATTTTTTTCAAGTTGTGGGCAACGGAGGGGGCCGAGTTAGGGTGGGTGCGGCGGCGGTTAGACTGGGTTCCGGTGGGTGGGGAGGGAGGATTTTTCGAGGGAGGGAGGGAGTTTTATGGTGGGTGAGCAATTAGAGTGAGTTGGGGGGTTTCGAGGATGTTGGGTTTCGTGGGGGTGGGTGGGTGGGGTTACGGTGGGTTTGGGTTTTTTTTTCGATTTTTTTGTATGGGGTGGGGTGTAAACATGGGCACGGGCCGGGTTGGCCCGCGTGCCGCCCGGCACGGCCCGAAGTCAAGCACGGCACGGCACGAAGTTCAACTTCCGTGCCACGGGCCGTGCCACGGACACGGTGGAGAATTCCCAGGCACGGCCCGGCACGAGCACGGGCATGGCCCGCCGTGCTGGCCCGCAGGCACGGCCCGCGGGCCAACGGCTATAAAACGGCTATAAACGGCTATAAAACGGCTAGTTTTTTGCCAAAAATTCTATAAATACTCACCTCCATTTCATTCCCAAATCACAAAATCACAATCTAGGTCTAGGGGGAAAGGCCGACTTATCATCTAGGTCTAGGGGGAAAGGCCGACTTATCCGTAGTAGTAGTTCTAGGGAACCACCAAATACAACGAGCCCCCAAATTACGAGTCAAACCAATGACCCCATTTACTTCCCCCCGGGCTATGAGCCATATAATACGTCGGGATTTCCAGCACCACCACTAAACCAATTTCCACTACCACCATACCAATTTCCACCTAATTATATCGGTAATCAACAAAACTATTGTTCTAGCCAAGGTAGCCAAGAAAGTACCTGAATTCCCTCCGGTTCTACCCCTTCTACTGCCACTCCCACTAGTCCCCCTACTAACCATCACACACATCATGAATGGTTAACCGAAACTGAGATGCTACTTTTGAAAAACCGAAGGAGTGAGGTATGGCGTTATTTTGTCCTAAGTAAAGATGGTGAACAATGGGCAAAATGTAAAACATGTAATAGTGTATTCACGGCAGTTACCAAAAACGGGACGGGACACTTATCTAGACACATGAAAGCTTGTGCAAAACCAGCTAGTGATCCAACCCAGCCCCAAATTTCCCAATTCCATCCATACGGCTTTACATACAACTATGAGAGGGATAGGGATGAACTAGGAAAAATGATAGTACACGCCGAACAACCTTTTCTTTTCTCGGAAAGTGACGCATTCAACACCTACATTAACAAAGCACTACAACCCCAACATAAAAGAATCTCTAGGAAACCGTTCGTTCCGCCGCAATGAAAAATTTCCTAGAGTACAAAGTCCGGTTACAAGCCGAATTGAGTAACCTTAACTGTAGAGTATCTTTAACAGCCGATTCTTGGGATAGTGGTTATAAATATCACTATTTATGTGTGACTTGCCATTGGGTAGATGATCAATGGATGTTACAAAAAAGAATAATACATTTCAAAATGCTGGAATACCCACACACCGGCATTAACATTGCTCACCATTTAATGCAAGCAATAGACGAATACAACCTTCGAGATAAAATGATGTCTATGACTTTTGATAATGCAACCTCTATGACATACACAGCTAATCTTATCAAACAAAACTTAACCGATGTACTATTAGACGGTGAAGCTCTTCATACTAGATGTGTTTGCCATGTACTTAACTTATGTGTACAGGATGGAGTTCGGGCAATTGGCCCATACTACAGCAAAATCAGAGATGCTATTATGTCTATTAATAGCTCTAACATGAGATACCAAGAATGGAAGAGTTTTCTAAAACAACAAAAGATAAGGGTAATAAAAATTAGAACCGATTGTCCAACTAGGTGGAATTCCGCCTATGACATGTTAACAAAGGCAATTGAGTACAAGGGCCCGTTAACATTATTTTACAACCAAAAATTTCCACAAAATGCTTTGTATGATGATGATTGGAATAACTGTGAAAGATATATGCAATTTTTACAGTTATTATATAACATGACGTATTGTTTTTCTACTGTTTACAATCCTTGTGCTCAAAACTTTCTTTCTAATGCATGCTTACTCGCCCAACTTTTCGCTGATCATCGCGATCAAAGTGATTATGATCAGTATCTTCCAGCAATGGAAAAAAAGTGGCGTAAATATTATAGTGAGATTCCTTTGATTTATATTTTTGCTTCCATATTAGATCCTAGGCAAAAGTATGAAAACACATTTATGTTAGTTGACATTTACTTTCAATGCATGTTTCTTGACGATGATGTAGAAAACTATAAGACTAATGTGAAGGATCAGTTTTTTGCTTTATATAGAGTCTATGAAGCCAAATATGGCACCGTTCCTCGCTCAGGGCCTTCCCAACCATCCAAAAACGTAAGTAAGAAGGCCAAACATTTATTTTCACAAGCTACTAACTTGATTTCAAGGTTTTCAGGTGATTCATCAATCAGGAGAACGCAAAGCGACGTCTCGGAGTTGCAGATGTACCTGAGTTACGACTTCACCAAAGGCATGGACGACGATGAGATAAACAGCCTCGACCTCCTTGCATGGTGGAAACAACAAAGCTCGAAGCATCCAACTTTGGCGGCAATGGCACGAGACATTCTTGCTATCCAAGTTTCCTCCGTCGCCTCCGAACGAGCTTTCAGCGCATCCGGAAGGGTTTTAGACGATAGAAGAACAAGTCTAAAACCCGAAACACTAGAAATGTGCGTGTGTTTCAAAGATTGGTTGGATGCGGAAAATCGCTCACAAGACCGTTCTTACGACCACAACGACAACGAAGAAGGAACATCCGCTTCCGGTTCGGGTTCGGCTAGTTCCCAATCTATGCAACTAGCCGATGACCTTGAAGGCGAAGGCGAAGACGAAGACGAAGACGAAGACGAAGACGAAGACGAAGACGAGCAAGAAGAAGGAGAAGAAAAATAGACAATTATTGTATATTGTACGATTTTAAAAATATCAATTTTATCATTTTCCAATTTTTGTTTAATACCATCATTGTATGATTTTTATCATTGTTATCATTGTACAATTTTCTCAACTCAAGTAATAATAATATAAAGTACGCATTATTCACATCCAAAGTCCAATTTGCCTTTTTTCCCCGTTTTGTTACAATTTGTAAATTCATATTAAAAAAAAAAAAATTATACCAATTACTAATGAATCATAAACATTAAATTTTAAAGTAATAGTATAAAGTAAATATATAAATATAAATATTGAATATACAAATTATAAAACATAAATATTCAACTTATAATTATAAAATTCATAACTTAATAACTTATAACTTATAAGTTATAAACTTATAAGTTACCTTATAAAACTTATAATTATAATTTTATAACTTATATACATTATAAACTTATTAATTTATAATGTTGTCATTAAAAAAAAAAAAAAAAAAAAAAAAAAAAATGAAAACTGCACCAGCCCGCAGGCCGGCACGTGGCCGGCACGGCACGAGCCCGCCAGGCACGAGGGCCGTGCCGTGCCGTGGGCTGGCCTGTGTAAATGGCCGGCACGGCACGGCACGAAATCCTGGGCACGCCGGCACGACCGGCACGGCACGAACCAGCCCGTGGCCCGCCAGGCACGGCCCGCGGCGGCCCGGCACGGCACGGTGCCCAGGATTAGTGGGGTGGGGTGTGTTACGGTGACGGTGGTGGGTGTGGTTGGGGTTGGGTCTGGTTTTTTTTTTTTTTTTTTTTTTTTTTTTTTTTTTTTTACAGTGACGGTGGTGGGTGGGGTGGGGTACGTTACGGTGATGGTGGTAGGTGGGGTGGGGTATGGGTCTGGGTTTTTATTACGGTGACGCTGGTGGATGGGGTGGGGTAAGGTTTGGGTCTGGGTTTTTTTATTTACGGTGGGTGGTGGGGTGGGTTACGGTAATTATGGTGGGTGCGGGGGTGGTGTTAGGGTGGGTCTGGGTTGACGTTGGTGGGGTGGGGGTGGGTTACGGTAACGGTGGTGGGGTGGGGGTGGGTTACGGTAACGGTGGTGGGTGGGTGGTAGTGTTAGGGTGGGTCTGGGGTGACGGCGGGGGTGGTGTTAGGGTGGGTTACGGTGGTGGGTGGGTGGAGGGTGGTTGGATTGGGTGGGTGACCAAATTTTTTCATTTTTTTATTTAATTTATAACTCCTAATTTAGTTATACAAGAATATAATTTTAATTTTATAATAGCAAAAAAATTTACAAATTTAAATCAATAATTATATGTAAAAAAAATTGTACTGTTAAATTACATTAAACATCAAATATATTTCGTGAAATTCTAACAAATTGTTAAAGGCTGTAAATAGTTCAATTTGAATGGAACGGGTTGTAAACGTTTCGGTTTAAATAGTTTGTAATCGGATCGGTTTAAACTGGTTGCGGTTTGAAAATAGTTCGGTTTAAACGGTTTAATGGGTTATAACATTTCGGTTTAAACGGTTAGCGGGTTGTAAATGGTTCGATTTAAACGGTTTTTTCCTACGGTTTAAACGGTTTCGGTTTATAAACGGTTCGGTTTAAACAGTTAGCGGGTTAACATTAATCGGTTCAAACGGTTTCGGCTTATAAACGGTTTGGTTTGTTATTGGTTTACGGTTCGTAACGGGTTAACATTAATTGGTTCGGTTCGATTTCGGTTAGACATTATACGGTTCAGTTCGGTTTTCGGTTTAAAATTAGCGGGTTATAAACGGTTCGGTCCGTGATGGTTCGGTTCGGTAACGGACGGTTTCACGGTTCGGTTTGAAAAGTCCCACCCCTATTTGTAACTAATTGTAACATTGTTCTGTTTACACTGTATAAATTATTGTCAAAATATGGCAATGTACATGTTGTCTGCATCCTTGTCAAGAGTATGTCAATGTTCATGCTGTATCCGCTGTAAGCTATAGCAACAGTCCTAACAGACACCGTTCAGAAGTAGTTAGATCACTAGCCTTTATCTTAACATCAGCTACAATTTGCTCGATTCAATGAGTTAAAGGGTTGATCCTCAAAAGAGATAATAACAGAGATCCTCTCGCATCATCTAGTGCGAAGATATTTCTACAATTCATCCTTTTGTAAAATCTTCAACACATTGCTTGGATTGAGAGAATTGGAGGGAAAAAGGAATGGAAATGGAAGGATTCATTTTCCCTCCCTCTTTAATAAACCAAATCCTTCCAACATACCTTTTGATAGGAGGGAAGGAGCGGAAATGGAAGGATTCATTTTCCCTCCCTCTTTAATAAACCAAATCCTTCCAATATTGGAAGATTTGGAGGGAAAATGTAACCTTACCTTCTCCCTCCCCCTTCCCTTCCCTTTCTCTTCCACATTGCTATCCAAACAAACTATAATGAAAAAAGAAACTAGGCAAGTGTAGACATGTGCATGAAATATTGATGTTAGAGCTTCGACATTATCTGGAACTATCAACCATAGATAGACTTCAGGGTAAGAACTCACAGAATAACAAGGAGAAAAAAGAAAAAAACAATCCTCTATTTTTCATAGTTCTTCTGTTAAAAGGGTATGTAATTGGACTATGGGAGTGAAAGGATAAATAGAAAAGCAAAGTCTCTTAATAGAGCACATTATACATTTCAAGAATCTGATTGCATGAGATGAATAGGATAAAGGGTATGCATTAGTGAATGAGATGACCATCAAGAATCTGAGTCATTATACATTTCATCACACCTCATAACACCTAAAATTCATCCAATTTCAATGGTTTTTTCTGTAGAACACCACCTATTTAGTCAAGAAGACCACAAACTGAAAGAATTATGCATAAGGATGGTACAGGAGAAGTCCAACTTTCCTTAAAGATCCCTGATTCCCTTCCTATGAAAAACTAAGGGATAACTGTTTTCGACAACCACGAACCACGCACCCTCAACCATTATTTTTCCTCTCTTTCGACTCAAATTCATCCATAATTATCATAGCAGCAAAGGGTATAAATTAGTTGAATTCTACTGCTTAGAAATCGTAATTGTTTCAGTTCTCAAACTGTCAGCAATTCCTAACCTCTCAGCATGCATAATTGATAATCCACACATCCTTACACTCTTACACTTCACCTACCCAAACACTTACAAAAATGACTAATCAACAAAAGGTTGAGCTTAAAATACACTAACTACATTAACACACAAAACACTAACAAAAATCAATCATTTATAACCCTAATTCAATCAACAATTGAAATGCCAAGAAATCAATCAGCCAACCAAAAATTCAAAATCAAACCCCAAATTTCCTTTAGAATTTTCCATTAATAATAACATTCAGATACAAGAAAACCCTTAATTCCATAACATTGAAAAAAAAAAAGGGAATGATCAGAAAACAACCCGAAATTGGGGGGCATTAGAATCATCAGCAGGAAGAATTTCCCAACGACAAGGCTCGAGTTCTTCAGAAACAGGGCAATACCCAGCAAGCGTAACCTTATCAGTGGAAGCAGCAACCGACCCAAATTCAAAAACGGTTACCTCCGTCGTAGCAGGGCGCCGGACTTCAACGGCGCCGTTCAAACCTTCAACCGCTTCGCCGGGTTTTGATTTGGGATTCTCCGGTGGTGGTTTAGTCTCCGAGGACTTGTCCTTGCGCTTCCACCAGAAAATACCCATTTGGTTTGGTAATGCGGAGGAGAGAGAAAATAAGAGAGCAAAGTCGTTTGGAAGATTTGAAACTAGGAAAGGGTTTATCTTTATCCTTGGGAAGGAGAGGAGAGGGTTTTATTACTCCGTACGTGTGCATCTTATTAGGGTCGGAACCTCTAGATTCTGAGACACGAGTATAATCCTTACTACTACCTCCGTTACATATTATTTGCAACGATTTGACATAAAAGTAGAGAGGAAAAATGTCTAATCGTTGCTAATGGTAGTAAATGCTATTTGAGCGGCCAATTTGGCTACATATATAACATGAGAATTTCAAAATTAGTTTGATTCAACTTATTTCCACTTACAAGTCAAAAAATTTTATTCAATTTATTTCAATTGAAGAAGTAAATCTAACCAATTGCTTTATTCTACTATCTTTATGATTGTATGTATATGAAAGAATGGAACATTCCTTCAATTTGATGTACATTTATTTTTAGTTATACCTTATGAAATTGTCGCATGTTAAATGATATCATGTTTATGATAGAGATGAACTCTATTTTTTATTATTATTTTTATATATACAATACTAATTGTGCAATCTATGAATCTAGGGTCAGTATTTATGTCGAAGGTATCTCAAGAAATATTAGTGTCACCAGGGATGAGCAAATCAGAAACCTGGTCAAAATTTTAGGAGTATTTTCAAACCGGATTGGAACTTGTCGGGTTAATTTACTCTTTTTTGCAAAGAGTTGCAGTAGCAAAAACTAGTAACAAAAACTAATGAGCCAAAAACAATATTTTTCCATTAATGAGCTGAAGCAAAAGAAAGCATCACAATTTTCCTAAAAATTAACAGTTGCAAATTGCAATGACAACCTCCTCGACCCCTCCACCTTAATTTGAAGTTGATAATTGTGACAAACAATTTCATTTACTAATTACACATCACAAAATTACATACACAAGGGAAAAAACACATCCCATAAAGAACATATATCAACCTTCCTGGACCGAAAACAAGACCAAGATATATCAAAGGCTAGCATATTCATCATAGTCATCCATTTTCATGAAGCACATAATGGCTAAAATAAATACAAAAAAGGAAGAAAGCTCCATGGTTAGGGCTCCCCAACCAATAATACCAGCGTGCTTTAAGATAGTTGGTATTGCAATACTGCCAACCACTGAAGCCCCTGTTAAAAATTTGGTCGCGTTCAACCAACTGTTTGACAAATAAAAAGAGGGGCACAAGAATGACATTCAGTGTTGTGAATTTGTGACATTAGAAAATCTCACAGTATTTTAGCACTAATACCTGTTATCAGAGGCTTCTGTAAAAAGCGAAGAGGCATCAGATCCAGCAAAGAACATCATGGGCATAGGGAGGAGGACATACATTATAACTGCAAATTAATAAACCCGAGCAGTGTCAGAGTCTAGCACAAAAGGTTCAGCATTTGACACATCAAAACTTACTAGAAGAATTATGCAATTCAACTATTTTGTCACAAACCATTTTGATAGACAAGTCACATTGACAAAAACATGACCTAACCTAAGGAAACATAGCAACGAGATTAACATTGACAAAAAGTGTACATGAACTTTAAGCATCCCAATAGTCAAGCTCAACACCTTCTCCTTCAATTTATATGCTTGTGCATATACACAAAATTGAATGGAGTACATAGTATATTCAGTCATTTGTACCTGTAAGCATCGGCCACCAGTTATTGTACAGAGCACATGCCTGCGAGCAGCATAAAGCAGCTGTAACTTGTAAGACATTGATTAATCTATAAAAGATTCAAAACAACAATGAAAGGAAAGCATGATTTTGATACTGACCAAAATTTGCAATACAATTCCTCCAGATACAAGAATTGCCAGAAAAGCAAGCTTCCCACTTTGCACACAAGTCACCATATAACCAGGTAAGTCTGCCATTATGTTGTCTCACTCTCACCAGATAGGTTGAAATCCCTGAAAATGAAATAGAAAGAAATAAAGTATAGTGACGAGAAGCAAACCGATCTATAAAGATACCCTAATTATTATTGTGAAAATCCTTTACAGCAATCCTGCAGACATACTAACAGCTCCACGCCTTAATCTAGTATTTCACCACCAATGAGTCCACGAGACAATATGCAAACATACAATAATTTGCACTACCATTAGTATCCCCCACATAGCTACAACTATGGCAGAATAGCCCTCAAATGTTTCTAAAGACGTTCACAATTTTGCGCAATTCCTATTCGGTAATGAAGATGGGGCCATTTCTTGTCACAAATAGGCATTCCACTGCCTGGCAATGAGCCCTTGAGTCCATTTCAGCACTGAGAGTATATCTAATCATGCTAGAATTCTGAGTCCCTAGTCTTCCAACAACAAAAAATACGAAGTTCGACAATAATATACTGCTCATTGAAGAAACTATAACTGAACTGAAAAACCTTTCACAAGCACGGCGACAAATAAGTGAATTGGACTAAAAATGAAGTTTCACTCTGTTTCAGCTTGTTAGGTTTTCATCTTCCATTCCTCAACCCTATTTCATGCTTAGAGATAAACCCATATATGAATATACACCAAATGCAACCATATCGTCCGTTTCACTAGAATTGCCCCATTTGACCATTTTTATAAGAGCTAATTGGATTAAATGGGGGAAATTCCAATTAAATAGAGAGAGTACAATATAATCTAATTGACCTAATTCGCTAAAAATGGCAAATTAGCAAGTGCGATTCATACAATTCGGATCTATTTTATCAAAACTAGGTACCCAATTACGTAACAGTGATTAATCTATTCGAAACACAGTTGGCATTTTCAATCGATGATATAACACACATTAACAGACAAAAATATAATGAATTGATTGAATTTATTTCTACATACGATTAATCGCCATTAATAAATATAATCAAAATTGGAAGATCAACTATTGAATTATTAGCATGTTTTGATTTGTGAATTGAAAACAGAAAAAATAATGAGGGGTAAATTGACAACATACCAGGTGAGAATGATGTTTGATTCGAAGGGCGAGTAATAATTGTTAATGGAGAAATAAAAAGTGCAGAAATCAACGAGAGTTTTAGATGAAATATCCAGGCACGTCGACAGACAGGTACAAAGTAGAACCACTCCCTTAGACAAAAGGGTTGGAGAGATAGAGTGGAAATTCCAGATGACTTGCGGGCTTCTCAATTCTTTTGTTTTGCTTCCAAATTAGTTGCCTTGTTGTCTACTCGATATTTATCGATTAAAATTTATTTTTACGAGTAAATGAATAGTTAAGGCGTTAAGGGTAAGATGTATTTCAATCACCATTCTTGAAAATAAGTTTTAAATTTTATCAAGCCTCTAAAGATAAAGTAAAACTAAGGTTATTAGGCTCAATCAAGTTTGCTAAATTCAATTACACGAAGAGAACACACTCTTAGGGCCTGTTCTCTTACGTTGAAATTCAGTTCAGTTCAGTTCAGTTCAGTTCAGTTCAATTCAGTTCAGTTCAGTTCAGTTCAATTCAATTCAGTTCAGTTCAGTTCAGTTCAGTTCAGTTCAGCTCATCTCCTGATTTCCTTCTCTTATAAAATATTCAGTTCAGTTCAGTTCAGCTTAGCTCAGTTCAGTTCAGCTCAATTCTGTTCAGTTCAGCTGAGTTCAGTCAATGAGAACAGAACCTTAGTGTATCATAATGAGTTGACTTCTACTCAAACTTTATTGCTTCATACAAATTTTAAGTTGTAGCATAGTTCTATAGTGGTCTTGATTTAAGAAAATTGATTCATACATGTATTATGTCCATCCACAATAAGTACTAATGTTATTTCAATATTCTTTTGTACATTGGATATCACTTGTCGGATCCTCTCATAATTTGACACGACACACAATCTACACTGGCTTGTATTACTTTTTAAAAATATACAATTTAAAGTGTTGGAGTAGTCGACATCTTGTATACCCAAATTCGAGTTTGAACAACATAGTGTGATTCTCTTAAAGTTTTATAAATCAGTTTTTATAGTGTTCTAAAGGAAGTACTTGTAATTTTTTTTTTCTTCAATCCTAAGCTAGGTGGAGCATGTGGCTCAAAGCGACTTCCAACTTCATCTCTTGATCCAGAATCCAGCAAATTAGCTCGTGTGAAGCTTGCTCGCATTGGTTCATGGGGCTTTGACGCTTTGTCACTTGATGTAGTTGTCTATGTCTTGTGTGTTTTTGTCGTATTGTTGATTTCGTTACCTCATATTCTTGTCAACAAAATAAATAAAATTAATAATAATAATTTTTTTTTAAAAAAAATCTTATTCTTGATTTAAAATTGATTAGAGAAATCAAACAATCTCAAATCTCACTTTCTCAAGTGGGGAAAAAAGAGAAGAGAGAAAGAGCCCTTCACAAACTGGAATGATCCTCTTCCTTTTGCTCGCCAGCAGATCAAACCAAACTTGAGCAGCACTGCAGCAGCAACAATGTCTTCTTCAACACCAAGAAGACGCCCAAAATCATCTCCCATAAACCCTAATTCCAAATCAATCCCAAATTACTCTCAATCTCCTACCTCTTCTTCGACGCTTACTTCATTACTTGCAGAAATTGAACCTCCCCCTAATTTACTTCCTTCAAAATCCGATTTTCTCAAGCTCATTGTTATCATCACAATTGCTGCTTTTGTTGCCGTTTTCTGCAACTTCTTATCCAGCTTCATCAATCGCCCCTCTTTGCCTTTCTGCGATTCCGACGTCGGAGAGTACGATGTTTCATTGCTCGGTATTCTTCACTCTTTGCTTTCATGTCGCAACTTTGTCTATTTTGTGTTGCTCTAATTGTTACTTAACTTTGATTTATATCATGATTATGGGCATTAAGTAGTTTAAATTACTGGGAATTCTAAGATAATAGTTGGGTTATTCATTATCTATATACATTTTGATTGCATTCAAGTTATATTGAATCATAAACTATAAAGCAACAAAGTACAAATCAATATGAATTGTGATTTATACGGTGTTGAAGGAGGTCCAAATGTGCATGAATTGTGAATTACGCTTCATACAGTTGCTATTTTAGATGTTCTTCCATTCATTATCACTAAGGTTGATAATTTTCTAGTAGAGAAGGGTTGAATTATGTTGCTTGTCTTTGAATTTTCTGTTAGTTATATTGATCATTTAGTGGTATGGAAGTGGGTTGTCATTAAACCAAGGGTCTATTAGGAAACAAGTAGGGGAGGTGCGGTAAGCCGGTGTGAGCCGGTGAGCGAATAAGAATACCACTGCTCTTGTTTGGATATTAGATAAGAGGAGGGAAAATTATCAAGTAATAATCATCTTGGATGACAGGAATGTTGTATCAATGTTGTTTTGCGCAATGATAGTTGTTAGCCCCTTTATTTGCTATTTTGCTAGCCAGACAAAGGAAAATGCTTCCGTTCCTTTTCTGTCCACCAATTCCTTCTATCCAAACAGAGTGTTAAACTCTATGTAAAAGCTAATGCTCTAGAGTAAAATAAACAAATCTATAAGCAGCGGGAGTTCTTGTTTGTGTTTGCTTGAGCTGTTCAAGATGAAAGTCTTATACCGATTCTTTTGGGGGTAGAGGGTTACAGTTACTTTAAAGATTTGATTAAATTTATTTCACTTTGTTGATCTTACAGATACATGTGAGCCTTGTCCAAATAATGGAAGGTGTTACAAGGGCCAGTTGGAATGCATTCAAGGATATAGGAGGTATGGAAAATCATGCATTGAAGATGGAGATATCTATGAAGCAGCTAAGAAACTTGTAAGCTGTTGTGTCCATGCTTTTTGTGCAGTTCTTTTTGGCTGAACTTACGAATTTTCTCACCTTGCTATGGCTTATTTTTTTTTTATATTTTTACGTTGATGATTACAGTCAGTATGGGCAAAAGATCATCTGTGTGAAGCACATGCACATTATATATGTGATGGAACTGGGACAATTTGGGTTTGTCACTTCTCTGCTGTCAGACTTTGTGAATTTTTACTCGACCCCTGAGAGTGCCAGAATTGGTTAACTCTGTTAGATTTTTCTTTTACTGTAACTCTGTTTAGGTGTCCGAGGACAAGTTAAAGAACATGCTGGACAAAGGATTCCAAGGTTCTACTGCATATGATATTAAGTATCTGTATGCAAAAGAAAAAGCATTGGAGGACATTAGTGGACTGTTGGATACAAGAACCATTGGCAACAGGTATGCTTTCTTCTACAGAAAATAGAACAGTTTATATTGAATAACTAATCATCAGGATTGCGGTCAGAGCTTCTAACTTTGAAATCGATCACACGTCTCTTAAAAAGGGGTCAAACATGAATACATGATTCTGATTGCTGACCCTGTTCATCAAACCTTAAGGCACTTAATTCATCTCCTGTTGTTCCCTAATACACTTCCAATTGAACCTTTAGTGCTAATGAATTAAAGGTATTGAATACATGGGTTTGATTGACTATCTCAGATCTGCAATTGAATTATTGATGGTCAACTATTAAGCTTTAAGCGCAAAGTTAGGGTGGTGTCTGCCTGGGTGGTGCAAGCTTATGGGTGAGAGAGATAGAGATAGATAGAGAGGGGCTATTCTGACATCATATGATAGGCTGCAGCCTGTGTTTCTGTTCTTCTGTCCTGTACCAAACTGAGTTATTCACATACTATGTAACAGGGTTTTGTAATTTGAATCAGTCTAAATTATATTGTGAATCTTTTCTTGCAGGGTCAAAGAGTTTAAGTGTCCTGTCAAATTAGCTGAAAGTTACAAATCAATGACTTGTCGTGCTCGGCAATGGGTAGCTAAGAATCTTTTACTTCTCATGGCAGTATTTGTACTGGTATTCAACTCTTATCTCAACTCTAAAAATGTAGAATGAACTTCGTGATCATCATGATGATATTGATATTTACAGCTTGCAGGATCTACATTGTTGCTGTTGAGAATTAGAAGAAGATGGTATTTGACAAAAAGAGCAGAACATCTTTACCATCAGGTTAGCATTTGGCAATACCTTCCTTAATACTTCAAACAATGTAATACCTAAGTTGGTGCAAGACTGAGGTATTGGATGTCACAGACTCACAGTGGCTCACTTATGAAGATTTATGGTGCTTGTTTATGAGTAGTTGATACTTGTAGGCTTGTAGCTGGTGATCCTGGAAATTAATTTTGAAATCAAGCCTGATCATAATTAGCCTTTTTTTTTTTTTTTTTTTTTCTTCTTTTCCTGTGGCATGGGCCTAGGGCCTAAGCCCTCCTTTATATAGAATTTTGTTGATAATAGCCGTAGTTTTTATCTTAATATGCACCTAGAATTCATAGTATGGAACTGACTTTTAAATTAGATACTCTTGAGGGTGGTCATCAAAACATGGCTTCTATAAATTCTGTTTCAAACATTGCAGTCATGATGTGGACAACATGTCTCTGAATTGCAGTTTGGTATAAAATGTGGAGTACCTTTACTCTCTTATGTAACTTTTTGACCAAATGATCAGGATTTCAGAAAGTACTTTGAGTGCAATGTCTCTATGAGTACTAGCTAAATAAACTGATTGCATTTGTGTACATAGAATGCTCATATCTATGAAACTGACTGCAGCTTTACAATGGAAAAGTAGGACCTTGTAGGCATATCCGTTGGTTACTTTCTTTCCATGTGCCCACTACCTCATTGCTAATGAAAGTATGGAACCATCTTCCATGCTTGACATTATTTCATACTTTCATGAAATATCTAGCCTTAAAACAATTGAAAATGTTGATTACAGAAAATAGCCTAATGTATTGGGTTGTAAATCAGCTATATTATGAGAAGAGCACTCACTGGTCCTACTGCAGGAAATGAATGCTATTGAAAATTCTGAAGTGTGGAAGCTGCTGCTAATTTTAAATCTGTAATCTGTTTATTGACTTCATTCTCATGACAATGTCTAGCTAATGCTTCTTTTTATTGACATTTTTATGCACTGTTTTTAAATTTTCTTTGAAAAATTGTCAGGTTTGTGACACACTTGAGGACAATGCTATAATGTCTAGAAGCATGGGTGACAGAGAACCCTGGTTAATTGCCTCAAGGCTCCGAGATCATATACTTAGTCCCAAGGAAAGAAGAGATCCTTTTCTATGGAAGATGGTATTTCTCTCCTTTTTCTTTACCCCCTATCATTGGAGTTCTTAATGTATTTTAGAATCTTCAAACATGTGTAATTACGTTGTTTCCTCTCACTTGTCACCCAGTGCTCTTTTTTTCCCTTGCAAACAGGTAACACGTAAAATTTAGCTGCATTCCCTCATGTCAATAATATTTGCTAACTTAACTGTCTTCAACTCTTCACCCCCCTCCCCCAACCAAAAACAAAAAAGAGAGAGAGAGAGAGGGGGGGGGGGTCGATTGGCTGTCTGCAAATGAAACTATTACTTAATTTGATTACTTATTTTCTGTTAATCCCCTTTTTACATTGTGCTTCCTTGAACTTCCCTATATCAACCCAGATTTTGTAGGTGGGTTGTTTAGGGTCTGTCTGTTTGTTTCATATAAATAATTTAGATTATAAAATAAGTTCAAATTTTTTAATGAAATAATTTGAAACAAAATAAAATAAGTTCAGATAAAATAAAATACTAAGTTCTAATAAAAAAATTCAGACAATATGAGATGAACCAGATAGAGCTGTATCTTGTTTGGATATGTCTTGCAATCATCAGCTTGATGATTAATTATTGGTAAGGAGTTGCTAGTTTCTGTAATTAAAAATTAGTTTCTTTTGCAAACTTTTTTTTGTTGATAAGTGAGAAGCTAATGATTCTCCATAATATTTTTTCTTGGAGCATATACATTTGCTCTTTGTTTAAGTTTCTCCAAAATTTTGGCCTGTTGTGACTCTTGTGAGTCTACTTGGCAACACAATGTTGCTTAACAGCTGAGGGTCATTATTAAGTATGATATTTACCATCCTCATTTAATCAAATATTAACTTTTTGGCACCAATGGAAAATATCTCTGATTGGAGCTGTGAGCTAATGTGACTGGCTGTGTACTTGTGTACTGTTGTCAAAAGTACAATAGTTTAACTTCGTGGTACTATTTACTCTTTTTTTTTTTTCTTTCTTTTTTTTTTTGGACTGTATATACACGTTTCTATTTTCATAGTATTTATACTGATTCTCATTTGATCTTTCTTCAAATTAGGTTGAAAATTTGGTGGAGTCGGATTCTCGTTTGGACCGCTATCCAAAGCTTGTGAAGGGTGAATCAAAGGTGGTGTGGGAATGGCAAGGTACGGAGATGCAATTTGGGCTCTATATATACCGTATCATTATGATTTTTAATTAGCTATGTTAGAGCCTCATTTTGCAACATAATGTCTAATTGAATTGATAGTTTATCTAATTAAAGGGAAAATTGAGATGACTATAATTTATTATGTATCACTTGATTTGTGAATTACGGATGTGTCACTAAAATGTAGTTCTTAGAGAAAATATGTTTTCTAAGTGTTATTGCAATCTAATAAGAATCTACATGACAGTTTGACTGTTAACCTTTCCCTAAGAGTTGCTCTTGGAATTATGTTATTGTTGCTTGTAGACTTTGCTTTGCTAGCTATTTGATTGGTGTTTCCTTGAAAAAAGATGTCTAGCTGTCTCTTTGAATTGGTAAATTAGTATGTTTATTGAGGGAAAAAAAAAATTCTGTTAGAAGGACAATTTGTATAAAAAAAAATACATCAACAGAATACCCTAGGTCGTTTAGAAATTTGGGAAAGAAAAATTGTATGCCAAGATTGCCAACCAAGCTTTACATTGGACACTAATTTTTTTTTAAATAAAATTTTCTCACAAAGCAACACCTGTGAAAGCACATTAATAAGGGTAAGAACTCTTATCTCACAAGGGCTTATGACCATAAGGTCCATTTGGGAATATTTTGTTGAAAAAGACCTGAAAATAGCAAAGCATGGAGAACCAAAGGAACATTCTTTAATATTTTTTAATGTTAAACTCACCCATTCACAAATAGTGGATGTGAGAGTTTAAGAATGCAAACTATTATTTTGGCTTCCCCTGGCTCCCCAAGATACTTTTCTATTGATAAGTTCATCCTTTTGTTATATTCTGTCGTCACATAATCACATATCTGAGCTTATACCAAGAGTTGAATCATCAGTGCAATAATTCTTGAGCACATGTAAGATGTAACCATAATATATTAATATGCTTCATGTTTGTGCTGGATTCTTAACTACTTGGTATGATTTTTAAACAAGTAGTAGATTTTCTTGGCTCTGGTTTAATCATTACTTTGTCCTTCTTTAGAGATTAGTCATTACTCATTAGTTCCATCAATAAGAGAAATAAAAAGATTAATTGTTAGCTGATTACATTAGCTACTTCCGTTGTTTCATTTTAGTTGACACATTTCTCTAGGTATTTTTTCAATCTTTTTTTTAATAGCAAAATTTGTTAAAAGTGAAAAGTGTTAAAAAATTGGAGTATGAGAGTCATGACTGCCATCTTCCTTTGGAAAATCTGGGATCAATACCTTTTTATTTAGTGGGTGGTGGTGGAGCATAATACAGTAAGGTCCTGGAAGAATGCAGTATATGTTAAGGGTTTGAGGAATGCCTTATATAGTTGAACGAATTATTCAAGGAATAACTTTAATCATTATTATGCATTTTCGAGAAATGAAGCATATTGACCTTGAAATTGTATAGTTGACCTTTTCATCGCTCTTTAGAGTCATGCTTGTTCTATTAGCGTATCTAAATTAAGTGCTGTCCTGTTCCCACAAATGAATGGAAATGACATATTTGGACTCTGCATTGAATTGTGAACTATTTCCTGTATTTTTTTATGGCACTTTACTCTGTTTAGCCTTTTTCTTTTATCTTTGAAATATTAACTTTTATTCCTTGTCTCTCTCTTTTTCTGTTCATTAGTGGAAGGTTCTTTGAGTTCTTCAAGGAAAAAGAAGGTGGTTATCGGCAGTGTGAATAATGGTGCAGCTATGAATAAATCATGTGGCTAAAAACATCAAGTTGGTGAGATACAGAGTATGATCATTTGGAGATTCAACGTTTTGACAAGTTATCTATTGATTTCCAGTTTTGGATTATGATGATTGAAGTAAATGTTAGTACACTTCTGTCCTCTACTCGTATGTGTGAAGTTACTCTGTATCATGCAATTGAGACAACTTTGTAGTTGCATTTGGAAGACTAGGCACATGTCCACAAAAGCCCCAAGAGGTGTTAGACTTGTGCATATTTTTGGTAATTTGATCCTAATTTATGTACTTAAGAATTTAAGATGATCTTAATTTACCTTGTTCTATGTGTGCAGGCCCTTAGAAGTTTGTATCAGAACGTCCATGTTACCAGAAGAAAATTGTGTTGTATTAGTTATGCTGGAGACGATTGAGGGGAAAATTTAGCCATTGTCAGGGGCTTGTTTCAACTTTCAACAGCTACATCTTGTTATAACTGATTGCTGTACATCTACATCCCTTTTCTAACGCTATTTTTGAGCAGCAACTGGCCAAGAAGCATTTTTTTCCTAGCAGGCAGTGTTTCTGGTCTTCAGTTGGTAGTTTTGGTCATAAAGCTGATTAACTCTGGAAGATAGCTAAGACAGAATTAAGTTAGAATTCTACGGAGTACAAAATTGCAGACGTACACACCATAAAGCCCACGATCCCCCTGGAAACAGTATCAATCTAGCAAGGAAACATCATAAATTTTTCATTTGTGTGGAATACCTCTCATGTATCAATCTTGTAATTACCTCGTATATTTATATTTTCATTTCATTTTACATAAGAAATTTGTTGGGAAGCTTGCGCTGTTTTCATAATTTGTGCTTGTAGCATCTCATTGACATTCTTGAGTGGAATGGGATGCTATTTGCCGACGTATATTGCATGTCGCATCTTATAAATGAGATTTTGTAGTCCTACGAATCTGTTGATTGTGTTCAGTAAGCAGTGGAATGGTCTCCACATTGTGCTGTCAATGTACATGTATCTGGTGTCTATAATAATATAAACCCCCCCTCATGACACGTGTCGATGTTTGTTTCTTGAATGTCATGAAAAAATCTTACCCTCGTATACAAAATAAAGTTAAAACTGTTTGAATTACGTACAATTTTAAATTAATCATAATTGAAACCAGCTTTGAAATTGATCATATACTTCGTATCTAGTACGAGTATAAATTTTCAAAACACATAAATCACGAGTTCAAAACTAATTCACCATTATAGACTTTTTTTCTATTTAAACTTCTAAAAAACACTTTTAAGACTTTTAGTTTAATAAATTTCCTTGTATTTTCTCCTTAAAAGTTAGTAAAAAAAATTATCTTCACAACAAAACTTAAATGAGAATTTCTTTAAAAAAAAACTTAAGTGAGAATTAATGTTGACCGTTGATGATGTATTTTTATAATAGATCTGACGGCTGACATGTATGCGTGTGATTAATTTTGTTGGTTATTACTTCCCCTATGTTAGCTTTTTTCCACTTTTACGCTGCACACCTCTTTCTCTCTTCTCCATTGAAGCATACTCTGAATTCTCCATTGAAGCGGCTTCTTTGCTTTCTTCCATTGAAGCAGCTTCTAAGGTAAGATGTTTTTTACTCTATCTTTTTCTATAGCACATCTATCAATTTCACAATCTAGGGTTACCGTTAATTTTACTCTGTATAGTCAATTTAGGGTTCTTTAAGGTGGACTGCTGAACTATTGATTATGATTACTCAACTTATGAAACATTATAACCAGCGATTTTGTGGGTAACGTTTTTGTATTGTGCAATTTATGTTGATATTCTTTAGCATGTTGAATTTTATGCAATATTTTGAGCATATGCTGTTAATTGTGTCAAATTTGGCTGCTAATTTGTTGCAAGATTTTGTTTATAAACCTTTAAAGTTAGGACGAAGCTGTGAAAATGTACCGTTTTTCCCTCGGTTTGACCCATGGCTCAGGGACGGCCTCGTCGTAGGCAACTCATGTTTAACAAAATGAAATCTATTGGCAGACATACTCTTCTTTCTTTGCCTATCTTTGAGTTAGATAGTAAGAAAATGTAAATTATAAGATAGGAGACATTGTAAATTCATGTTTAAGAAAATGAAATCTATTGGCTGAAAGACCCTTTAGCTAATTCGCTCAAATAAGATTAGGGGTTTCGGGGATTTTCCTAACTTGAAATAGGGAAATTTTAATGCTAGTTGTTCGTTTGAGTTGCTTTCGGGTAGCCTCAACTAGGGGTGAAACCAAGTAGATAGCTTGGTTGTGTCTCATAAATGGTTGGCTTGAGCCTTTCTCGAAGCTATCAAATCATGCAATAAGGAATTCAAGCTCAGTGCATTTGCTATTGATAACCCCTTAAATTTGATTTTAATTAACTAGAAAGATTGCTGAATTTCCAACTCCTCAATTGATGAAGCTCACTTTTGTAATTTTACTACTCCCTCCGTCTGTTATTTACATGCCTATTTCTAATATTTATTACTTACATAATATAGAGAAGGCATGTAGATAAGGGACGGAGGGAGTACTGAATATTATTATTTTCTTTTCTGAAAAAAATTTGGCTCTTCATTTGAGAAGATTCAAGTCAATTGTGCTTTCTTGTCTACTCGTGATGGTTAAATTATGATCGAGTACTTAACTAGTTTTCGTTAGCATTATAGCTTCTAACATGTGATTCAATCTAACTGTTAGGAAATAAGGGTGTAATTGCGTTTGATTAATGCGGAACAAGTCAATGAAATTAAGAACGAGAAAAACAATAAAGAAGATAAACAAATAACACAAGGATTTACTTGGTTCGTTCAAAATAGACCTACATCCACGGGTGGGGGATTCGAGAGCTTCTTCACTATAATGGAGAAAGAAACAAGAGAATAATACAAGGAGTCCTAAATCTAATGGCTCAAAAGGTATGATCTAATTGATCAACTAAAGGGTCATTTTATAACACAAGGAAACCCTAATAAAACCCTAAGATTGTTCCCCAAGTATATTCAAATAGCCGTCATAGAAAAGATATAATTTTAGGAAATATTCCATAAATTATCCTAGAATAACCTAACTACCGAGCTATAGCTCGGCAGCTAGCTCATACCTGCCGCAAGTCTTCATAGGGCCGAGCTATAGCTCACTCGCATAGAGCTATAGCTCGCCTCGTTGCAAATTTCCAGCTTCGTCAGGTTTTTGTAAAACGGTCATAACTTTCTCGTTTCTTATCGGAATCGGGCATATGATCTATCGTTGGAAAGCTCTTGAACCAAGCTATCACCTCCAATTTGAATCACCTCAAAATCAGTTGTAGTTTGAGAGATATAAGCGTTCAAAGTCAGCCCTACTAGATTTCAAGTCACAATTTAACAATCTCCACCTTGACTTGAAATCGACCAAAAAACAAGGTAACTCCACCTTGAACCAAAAACCAAGAAGTAATGCTCATAATAAAACATAAAACCTCCACCTTAAACAAAACTCCATAAGCCTACTCACATTAGGCTATCACCAAACAGACATCTTCCATAACTTGTGAACCGGTGCGTCTTCGAACACAAAATTCCGTACACAAAACCATCACATGGCCTAGATTGAGAGTATAATGTCCCGACGCGAAGCATGCTTATCAAAATTGACCAAACTCTCTTCAAACACTTCTTCATCTAAAAAAATCAAACCAAAAAAACTCAAGCAATTCTAGAAAAATAAAAAATTACATCAAAAATTTCTGAATTGCAATTGTACTTAGTTAATCACAAAAGTACCAAAATTGAGATAAGAAATAGCATAACTAGAACAAAATCTAATGCATAACCAAGAATGCTAATTTATCACAAATGAAAATCAAAAGCAATCTATCATAGACTCCATACCAAAAATCCACACGGTTTCTCGTTTTACCAAGAGATCTCAAAGGGGAACTTATCATGAAGAGATCGTAGAAACCGCAACCCCAAAGCTCGTAACCCTAAAGTGCATAATCATCATCATCGTTGGTATTGGCAATATTTGCGGATTTGTCCTCATTGGACTTCTCCACATTCTTCTTCTTAAATTTCCAACACTCGGCTTTGATATGACCCTTCACATGAAAATAGTTACAAACTTTTCCTTTACCAAAATTCTTATTACCACCATGAGCAACTAAAGCATTATTTTGAGCCGAATTATCAGATTTATTAACCAATTTATTGTCAATTAAATCTCTTTGAGTTAAGGCATCCTTAACATCCTCCAAACTCAAATCATCTCTACCATACAATAAAGTATCTCGAAAATGCTTATACGTAGGCGGTAAAGAACACAACAACCTAATAGCCATATCCTCATCATCGATCTCAACATCGATGTTTTGCAAATCCATAATAATAGAGAAGAATTCATCTAAATAAGACTTAAGCGGTTTATCTTTTTCTAGACGAAGATCATGAAGTCTAGATTTGAGTAGTAGACGGTTGGTCACACTCTTTGTCATATAAAGTGACTCCAACTTCAACCACAAACCCGCAGAAGTCGTCGTAGACGGTTGGTCACACTCTTTGTCATATAAAGTGACTCCAACTTCAACCACAAACCCGCAGAAGTCGTCTCCTTGGCAACCTCTCTCAAAACATCATTAGAGAGACATAATTGAATTGCCGAAAAAGTCTTCAAATCGATCTCCTCCCATGTATCCACCGTCATGCCCGAAGGCTTGTTGGATACACCTTCAAGAGCCTTGTGACAGCTCCTTTGAACCAAGATGGCTTTCATCTTCATTTGCCATAGGCCAAAGTGCACTTGCCTATCGAATTTCTCAATATCAAATTTCATTGGCATAATTTAATCAAACTAACCTATAAACACCTAAACCTTAAGACCTTAAAACCTTGGCTCTGATACCACTTGTTAGGAAATTAGGGTGTAATTGTGTTTGATTACTGCGGAACAAGTGAATGAAATTAAGAACGAGAAAAACAATAAAGAAGATAAACAAAGAACACAAGGATTTATGTGGTTCGGTCAAAATAGACCTACATCCACGGGTGGGGGATTCGAGAGCTTCTTCACTATAATGGAGAAAGAACGAGAGAATAGTGGCTCAAAAAAGGTATGATCTAATTGATCGACTAAAGGGTCCTTTTATAACACAAGGAAACCCTAATAAAACCCTAAGATTGTTCCCCAAGTATACTCAAATAGCCGTCATAGAAAAGATATAATTTTAGGAAATATTCCATAAATTATCCTAGAATAACCTAACAACCGAGCTATACCTCGGAAGCTAGGTCTGCCTGCCGCAAGTCCTCAAAGGGCCGAGCTATAGCTCACTCGCATAGAGCTATAGCTTGCAGCCTCGTTGCAAATTTCCAGTTTCGTCAGGTTTTTGTAAAACGGTCATAACTTTCTCGTTTCTTATCGGAATTGGGCATATGACCTATCGTTGGAAAACTCTTGAACCAAGCTATCACCTCCAACTTGAATCACCTCAAAATCAGTTGTAGTTTGAGAGATATAATCGTTCAAAGTCAGCCCTACTAGATTTCGAGTCACAATTTAACTCTTAACTTTTGAAAAAAAAAAAGGGTGGTTTATTCATGTATTGGAGAAAGTGTTGGTCGTGAATTTTGTGTATTGGCCAGCTGTGGTGCTGTATGTGATTGGCTGGCACTTTTTGTATTTTAGCTTGTATATTGAAGCACGTTCACTGATAGATGTGAACTTGTTGGCCTTGACCTGCTTGCAACTTTGCAGACCATGTATAGAGAGAGACATCATCTTCACAGAATTTGTGTGCATGTGTATGTATATGCAATTTACTTTTAATCTAACATTGACTTTTCTTATCTTTTGGAAAACCAATCAGGGAACGGAATTGATCTAGGGGGATGGAAACTACTCAAGTAAATGTTTCTGATGAGTTTGAGGAGGGTGCTGTGTCTGATGGCCATGGCCTTGATGATCAATTAATTGGAGAACATACTGCTGTATCAAGTTTTGAATTCTGCTCCAAAGAAATGGTGACATCCTTTGAGAACAAGAAGCAAAGTAATCCTGTTAACTTAAAGGAATTTCCTATGCATCTGGGAATTAGTTGTGATCCAAGTTTACAAGCTCCATCTGTTCCTGGTAAACTTTAAAATTTCTGGCTTGAAAATAAATCTAGTAATCTACCACTTGTTTGTTGAGTTTTATTTTGGGGTGGCTTGCTTGCTAGGTTTTCTCTCAAGGACAATAATTTAGATCATTTCCTGATTTAGTTATGCTTTGCCAACCTTCAACGCATTTGAATTGTTTAGTAGGATAATTCTATTGGATTGGTTTGGCTTGTTGGATTCAGTTCCTATGTGTCCATTCTAATGAATTCTTGCAATCCACTTAGCTTTCTTTGCTCCCTTAAACAGAAATTATTTCTAAACAAACTGCTGTGGAAGGGTCATTATGTTCCTTAAATCTTATCATATTGCATCATTTTTATATACTTCGTATGTTGCTATCTGACGAGTTCAAGTTACTTCTATATGTATAAATAAACTACTGTATTTAGAAGTTAAGTCTACTCCTTACGTTTACTGTGCAGCATTTATGTAAGATTATAAATAAACTACTGTATTTAGAAGTTAAAGTCTACTCCTTACGTTTACTGTGCAGCATTCATGTAAGATGAAAGTCAATATGAATGAATTTTAACGGCCTCAAATCAAATTTTTTTGGTTGCTTAAATTAGGTGTGTCAAAGTGTTATGTATTCAAGAGCCAATTACAGGAATATGCCCAAAAGGTTGGGCTTCCGACTCCTGAGTATGAGACAACTAAAGAAGGCCCTTCACATGAGCCTTCTTTCAGGTCAACTGTGATCGTGGATGGTGTCCGATATGAATCACTGCCTGGTTTCTTCAATCGGAAAGCAGCAGAACAATCAGCAGCTGAAATTGCATTAATGGATCTATCTAAGAGCGGGGGTAAGAAGGATTCGATTGCTGTGCCTGTGGTAAGTGAGTTAAATTACCAGTTGAGGCATATCAGTTATAATCTTACATTCTTACCAATAATGAGTTTAGGTGAAATTTTTTTTTACTTGAATGTATTGTACTATTATTCATTTTTTGTTTTAGGTTTAGGGTATATTTTGATGAACTGCTTCAGGTGTGCACCTTTTCTGTTTCTTATTGGCTGACTTGAGCACACTTTGAGAGGAAGTTAGAGGAAATTTTTATTGTTTAAAAATTAAGCCAGCTTCAGTGCAATTTTAAATATACTGTCAACAAGTAACCATTGTTAACTAAAATCATTTGCTTAGACATGATTAATCTAATCTTCAATCATTTTTGCTACTAAAGCTAAATAGATCTCTATGCTTTGACTACTGTTCAACAAGGCCTTTTTCAAGACATGATACATTAAGCTAAATATGACAGTGCTCTGTAATCTTAATTGCAACCTCTATCTGTTTAATAGAAGTGTAAGAGTGTCTCCAGTCCTACTGTGTTTGATCCCTGAGTTTCAGGTTCGGTTCAATTTATGGGTCATTGAATCTTATACTGGCTTATCACTGCAATTATTTTTGTCAGCATGAGACAGGTTTATGCAAGAATTTGCTCCAAGAATATGCACAGAAGATGAATTATGCAATTCCTACTTACATATGCCGGAAGGATGACACCCCTGGTAAGACGGCTGTCTTTTCTTGTACTGTTGAGATAGGGGCTATTCAGTACATTGGGGCTGCTGCAAGAAATAAAAAGGATGCTGAGATCAAAGCTGCAAGGACTGCCCTGCTTGCAATTCGGTCAAGTGGTTCTGTTGGAGGTCAGAAACTTGACAACAAACCTCTGTATACAGTTATCCCAAGCAAAAGAAAGATGCAAGAGACAGCTCCTCCACAAATGGAGACTGTAAAAGTGAAGAAGCCAAAGAAACCCCGTTCTTCAAAGAAATCACAAAACCGGATGAAACCTTGTGATTCTGATTATCAAAGTCATGCTGGGATCATGGGTGTTTTGGTCAGTAATGATATCGGTACTCCAACTGCCTTTCAACCATATGAAAATGGTTTATCTGATGTCCAAGTACCAAATCAAGGTCAAAATTCCAATTGTTTGGCAAGTTCAGATCAGGATAATTTGCCCATGAAGAATTGCCAACTTAATGGAAAAACATTTGTTGTCGAAGGTTCTTCTGATTCTGTAGTCTGTGTGGTTGACTCTAGCCCAACTCATGATCACAGAAACTCTGATGTTGGTAACGACTTGTCCATGACAATGGGTCCACCCTCAGTGCAATCTGACAATGGTAAAATTGATCAGGGTGTTGGCAAAGTCACCGGTGATGCACTCCAGTAGCTCTACTTTCTAGGCAAGTTGAGTGCATTGCCTACAAATTTTGGGATACTCAGGAAGATCCAGCAACTGCAGTGGCAGCTAGAAGGCACATGGGGGAAGGAAACAAAGCTTGCACAATGTACCTTCTGACCGATAATATCTGTAAGTTTTATAGTATGGTTTGATGAGATTTTTGTAGGTAGGGAAGGGGGAGTGAGACATCTATTTACCCATGTCTTGAAAGAGGGGTCCATTGGGGATTGTAGAAGTAACCCTAGATACACTATAAATTGAGCATGCCATTTGTTATTGGTATCTAGCAAACAAATGGATTATCTAGAAGTGAGAGCATACATAGTTTAGAATGGTTAGAAGGGCAATCATAGATTTGTATGTCCGTCTTTATTTATTTATATTCAACTTCACACCGGTGGCTGTTCAACTGTTCAAGCACAATGCAGCAATAGTTGGTTTTGCTTCGACGGCCACATTAACTGGGTTTGGTTTGGCTGCAGCAATAGTTGGTTTTGGTTCGACTGCAGCAATAGTTGGTTTTGGTTCGACTGGCTCATAGCATAACTATCGGAATTTCTTCTTTATCCTTTGTTTTCTGGTAGAGGTCCAATTTCGACTCCCCCGACCAATGAGAACTGAACCCGGATCTACCTATACGGAGATGTATACAAATGTATTGAGTATTGGTTTCTCAAGGCAATAGAGTAGTTGTTTATTATTTGACGGCGTGGGAGTTGCTGCGATAGCGCAGTGTTTTAAGTATTGAAGTGTTGTTTATAATACAGAGTACGAAGACTAGCTTTCGTATTTCTGCCGACAACAAAATATGTACCAATTATTATAAGATGTAGAGTGGGAAACAGCTACTTGTTTGTATACGTTATGTCGTTGAATTCATATTGCAGACTCTAGGAATTTTTCTTTTATGATATGATTCTTTTTAGGGAGTATTGCTGTTAAAAAAGTAAGTACGGAACACTGATACTACCTCCGTGACTCCGTCTGCAAAAGAACGACCCATTTGGCCTAATTTGTCAAAAAGAATGACCTATTTGCATTAAAATCCCCACCAATTTGCAATAATATGTGCAAAATTAGCTTTTCCATATAAAATTTTGTTTCTCTATGTACTTTACTCTCTCTCTCTCTACACTTTTTTACAAACTCCATGTAAATTTATCTTTCTAATATACTTTTACTTCTTTTTATTTAACTTTTTTAATACCCTCGAAATCAACCCAAATGGGTCGTTCTTTCGGGGACGGAGGGAGTAAGAATTTTATGCATTTAATGTAGGTGCAGAATACAAGCATTGGATACACTTTCAAAGTTTCAATTAAGCATGTCATAATCACCATGCAAATTATACGGAGTAAATAGTTCTACAAATGATAATATTTCTAGTTTTGGTTCCTTGCATAGATGCATGCAGTTTTAACTTTTAAGGACTCGTAATGCTTATATCTTTTTCAAAGGTGGACTTTACTTGCAAAAGTATTAAAATCCAATATGAGTTTCACAACTTGCTGAATTTTTTTGTTGCCTACCTCAGTTTTTTTTAATTAACCCGTTTTGATTTTTACACTATTTATCACCCCTTTTTTTACGGTTTTTAAAATTGTTTCAAATAGCACATAAAGGAAACATGTCAACTGTCAAGGAAGTATATCTTAGTAAGCCTCAAATTTTTTATTTTTTATAAGGTGAAATAATTTGTCATTTGTTTATCATTCTACCCAAGGTGTATTTTTTTTTTCTTTTCCGTTTTTGTAAGTTTGGCTTTTATGTATATCAAGTATCAACACATAAAAATGAACATTTGATCTAACATTCCCCTATATAATGTGTTTGGGTCCAATTTAGTCCAATTGGGCCTAGTCATTAAATGATCCAATTTAAAGCCCAAGGTCACGGTTCAACTCTCCAATTGTGCTAAAGTCAAAGATCAGTCATCAAGGCAAGTCAATTGGGCTAAGGCCCAACTTCTCCATATATGCAAAGGTATAAAAGCCATCAATATTACATTTGTACATTCATTCAAACAAAGCCTCAAGCAATCAATTCTCTTGCATAGCATTCTCTTTCTACACACTGTACTGACTTTATCATCGGAGGGGCCTTCCTCGGCAACACCCCCGAGGCTAGTTTACGTGTGTTTACTGTGCAGGAAACCTTCGAACCAACATCACTTGGACCGAATCCAGTCTTCTCCACTTCATCGGACCTTCGACAAGGTCCCATTGTTTTCACCCGAAACAATTTGGCGCCGTCTGTGGGGAAGACTTTCAAAAATCTTTAAGCCAAGTTTCTAACCAAAATCATCTTGCAATTATCTTAGTAGCAATGGCTAAGAACCGCAAGAGCAAAAGCCTCCGTCAAGGAGCAGGCGAAAAGCCTAAAACCCCTACACCATCACCCTCACCGGACCGGAACTCTCCCAAGGGTGCCAGCTCGGGGGGAGGATCATACAGAGAGGATTCCCTTTCTCCCGTAATTCATAACTCTCATCATAGGCCGAGTCACTCTCGGTCTAGCAGGGGTCAGTCCGATCATAGGACACATTCAGTGCCCCAAAGCCAACCATCAATTGTTCGCTCTCATTCCCATACTCAGCCGAGGACCCCTTTGACGGGGCCCAGCTCAGAGGAGGTGGCAAGAGCGCTGGCAGTGCTCATGGAGGCAATGAGGGCACAAAATATGCCTCTACCTCGCGATCGAACTCCTCCGCATACCCGGCATCAGCGGAGGAAGCTAGACCATGATGGTGGGAAACTTCCTTCCTTCCGGGAACTGGAAGAGTGGGAAGAGGATACCTGGAAAACTGAAAAAGAGAGGAAAAAGAACCCTCAATTCTTCAGAGGATCCTCGACCTCCCGACAGGAAACGCATAAGAGCAGCAACTCAGCTTCTCGGCCAGAATCTGCTCGCCAAGAACCTGAGACTGTTCGCCGAATTGTTCTCGACCGACTCGGCGGCAAGGAACCGAGCGTGCACAGTCGCCTCTCGTTCCCTGCAGCCGAGGCCCAGACTTCCCAGCCAGGGACGAAAACCACTCCTACCTCTCTAAGAGGGCGGAGCGCGGTCCCTTCGGCCAGGAACAAGGGCAAAGCCGTTATGCTACCCGCCAGTTCCCCATTCGAGCAATGGAAACTGGAAGAGCACGTGCCCACGGTTAAAATACCGTCGCACATCACATATGATGGGACCTCGGATCCGAAGGACCACGTTGCCTCGTATGAGGCTCATATGCATCTTTGCCCCAGATCCGAAGCGACTTGGTGCAAATATTTCCCAACCACTCTCAAGGGGGTCGCGCAAGCATGGATCTCCAAGGGAGTAAAGCAAGGCTCTATAACAGGGTGGGATGATCTGTCCTCCAAATTTAGGAGCAAGTTTTCCACGGCAAACCACCGAGAAAAGACTACTGCAGAACTCATGGGTCTGCAGCAGGGGGAGACCGAAAGCCTCCGAGACTATCTGACCCGTTTCAGCAACGAGTCATCCAGCGTCTCTCAGCTGGACCAGGGGCTAGCCGTTTTTGCAATGCAGAATGCCTTTTAGCCCGGGAAGTTCCTAGACTTCATGGTCATGCATACCCCGCAGACCTTGGAGGAAGCTCTGAGCGCCTCGGATAAATTCATCCGAGCGGAAGAGTGGAACAAAACAAAAACCCAACCTCAATTTGGGGGAGGGAAGCAAAAACAAACACCCTTGTCTGAAGGCCAAGGCCAGAGGACAAAGGGAAAGGCAAAGGCCTCGGAACAGTCTTCGGCCAGCGACCCAAAGAAGGAAAAATCTGCCTCATACACAGGCAGATACGAGTCCTACACTCCGCTCTCTCTTCCACGCGCCAAAATTTACAGCGTGACGAAGGAGGAGCAGAGTTACCGAAAGCCGAGACCACTCCCAGAGTGGTATCAGCGAAAAAATAAAAATCAGTGGTGCGAGTTCCACAAATCTTCGGGACATAACACTGAGGAGTGTATCCAACTGAAGGACCAGATAGAGGACATGGTCCGGAAGGGATACTTGAAAAAATACATCGCGGATCACCGCGAGAAAAAGGAGTCCGAGAAGTCAGCAAAGGACTCTCGGCAAGACCTCGATTTCCCCCGGAAGAACAGTAAAAAGCCAGAGGGAAAATTCTCTCCGATCAATGTTATCTCGGGAGGAATATGCTCTCGGAGGGAGCACAAGCAACACCTTAGGGCTCTGACCCACCAGGTGAACAACGCTGACATTCAGCCTCCCCAGTCGCCGGTGCCGAACATGACGTTCACGGCCGCCGACTGCCGGGGGGTAACGTTCCCTCACGAGGATCCGTTGGTGATCATCGCCACGGTGGCCAACCACGACGTCAGTAAGGTCCTTGTTGACGGTGGCAACGGAGCAAACATTCTGTTCCGAAAGGCCTACAATCAAATCAAGTTGAAGCCCAAGCACCTTACGCCGGTACCCTACCCGGTATCCGGGTTCAACGGGGCTTCAACTTATCCAGATGGGAAGGTGACACTTCCTGTCACCATCGGCTGCGATGAGGCAGCCAGGAATGTCATGATTGAATTTTTGGTCATTGAGGCTCCTTCAGTGTACAACGTGATTTTGGGGAGACCTATAATTCATGAGATCCAAGGGGTCGTCTCAACTTATCATCAGCTGATAATTTACGTCTCAGACGCTGGCTTCCCCGAAAGGATACAGGGCAACCAAAAGGACGCCCGAAGGTGCAACTACCTCAAGCCATCCAGTAGTCGCCCAGATGACGACAAGGATGAGGAGGAGAAAGAAAAAGAAAGAGAGCCAAGCACAAAAAAGCCGAAAGGCCTAAGTGCTTCGGCCCAAGGATCTGTACCCAGAGAAAAAGGGCCCGAAAGGGAAAAGGCTAGCTCATCAGCTGAACCGAAAGACTCAGAGAGCCAGCCGAAGAACAAAAAGACTGGGACACCTGCTGACATAGGCAGCAGGCCAGATTCTAAAGAGTCCAGTCCATCAGCAATGGACATGGACCAACAGACTGAAACAGTTGAGTTGGCCGAAGGAGACGTTGAGAAATGTGTAACAATCGGGATGGACCTTGATCCGAACACCCGTTGTGAACTTATTCAGCTCCTTCAGGACAATAGAGATGTGTTTGCTTTCTCGGCAGCTGATATGCCTGGGATAAGTCCAGACCTCATCTCCCACAAGCTTAATGTTGACCCAACGTGTCGACCAATTAAGCAAAAGAAGCGGAATTACTCCGCTAATAAGAACCGAGACATCGCAGCCGAGGTCAAAAAGTTGCTGGAGGCAGGCTTCATCGAGCCTTGTCAGTATCCAGAATGGCTTGCAAATGTGGTGATGGTTCAGAAGGCCAATGGTACCTGGAGGATGTGCGTTGACTTCACAGACCTAAATAAGGCTTGTCCGAAGGATTTCTGTCCCTTGCCGAGGATCGATCAGCTAGTTGATTCGACAAGTGGCCATGCCTTGCTTAGTTTCATGGACGCATTCTCGGGGTATCATCAGATCTTCATGCACCCCGACGATCGAGCAAAGACGGCATTCGTCACGAGCGCCGGGGTGTACAATTATAAAATGATGCCCTTCGGATTGAAAAATGCGGGGGCAACCTATCAAAGGCTGGTGGATCAAGTTTTCGCCGATCAAAAGGGCCGAAACATGGAAGTCTACGTCGACGATTCGATCGTCAAAAGCAAAAAATCTGAGGACCATGTAAAAGACCTGGCTGAAACCTTCGCCACCTTGAGAAAACATCAAATGAAGTTGAATCCGAAGAAGTGTGTCTTCGGCGTGAAGTCAGGGAAATTCCTTGGGTTCATAGTCAGCAAAAGGGGGATTGATGCCAATCCCTCCAAAGTCAAAGCGGCGCTCGACCTTCCTGAGCCGAAAACAAAGCGGGATGTTCAGCGGCTCACCGGAAGAATGG